GAATGATTAACACGAATATGGGCCGCGACAACAAAAACAGCAAGAAGAGGTGAGAGCTCTTCGCTTTGAAACAATTTACAATTTACAAGCCAAAAAGACAAAAAAAAACGAAAACTCAAAAGCCAAAGGCGCCAAAGAAGCCACAAGCGAATTGAAGCATTAAAGCGCAAAGCTACGAGCTTGAAGTGGACTGTTTGGGCTTGGCTTTGGAAAATGTTCATGTTCATGGCATTTGTACACCGCACTCTTATGCGTATGTACATCAAGTATACGCGGCGGTGTGCCAAGCTCATTAGGCAGACATTATAACATTTCTCTGCAGCGCTTGTACCGCTGTTTGCAGCCACTAATTTCCATGTCAAACACAGGCAGACAGGCGAAATTTCACTCATAGTCAACAGCGCACCCACAAACAGCGTGCACTTGAAGGCGGTTGAATTTTGATTGAATTTTATTTGCCCGCAAACATTGCATTACTAGCGAACATTACAGTGCGTTGCAGAAGACTAGTGCACCAAAAAAAGTGATGATATGAAACGACCATCGATGTTATGATTGATGTTATTTGGTATTAATTTTGACTTGATATGCGGGCACCTAAATTCAATATGTTCGAAATGTAAGCAACAGGCCAGATCGAATTTCGAATTTGTCTTTCTCTCTTCCACTTATGCGTTATCTCGGTCTATTTCAAATTGAGAGAGTTTGTACCTTTTTAAGTCGCCACAATGCTTCTTCTTTTCTTCTTCGATGTCAAAAAATCTCAGAAAAGATATTTCGGTAAAAAAGTTATGCGTATGCAATAACAGAAGTTTACCATGCGCATATCGATTTGACCGTGTGACCCAGTTTAGCCATTAAGTGGCATTTCCAGCCACTTTTAGGAGTTTTACATTTTTTTTTAAATTAAATTAATTAATTAGTTATCAATTTTTTAGCCAATTGTTCATAACTTTTAGCAATTTGTACCAATTTTTTTCCAAATCTAGACAATTTTTGCTTTGGAAATTCTGGCACCAGAGGTCCGCATATCGATTTGTGTGTATCTTATAGGCTTGGGTAATTAGGTATGCCTATTTTAAATGGTGAGTATACTACTGAAATGATTTTAATTAAATTTTACAGCAAGTGCTTACTAATAAACTGTACAATACAATTACACAAGCTTTAATTTACTACAAATATTAATGGTTTTCAATTCGATCCTAACGCTTGAAGCTTATACTTATGTTTTATACCCATTTTTAATTGAATTTCAAAAACTTTCTAGTGGCATTCATGAATTTATTTTTATTATCGAATGAAAATTAATGCCCAAACTTGGTTATTATATCGCCGGATCAGACTGTATCTCGGGGATCTAGTTCCTTGACCCGCCCTGAACTAACTGCACGCAATTTGATGAATGAGACAGTTCGCAACAATCTGCATGCCACCGCGTAGATCCGTGACTCACCGAGGAACACATTACAATTTGCCAACAATCGGTTGTGACATCGTGAGCGACTACTGACATTTTCGGGCAGCGGCTGCCTGTCTTCGATTTCGTTTCCGGCCAGCACGTAATTGAAATTACATTAAGCCAGAAATTTTGGCAGTGAAATTGCGTTCGATAATCACTTTCATGGGGTTTAATTGTTTCCCTGTGCGAGTCTAGACTGGACTTTCGCTCTCCACTGGCCGCAGTGCTCTGCTCTCGATCAGACTTTCGGACCTACATTAACATGCCAACTGAAGAGACCACTCCAAAACGATATGAAAATGAAAAACTAACCGGGCACACACTCACACACGCCCAATGCGGAAAATTGAAATGCAGTCGGAGTCACTGCAGCGAGTTTTGGGAAAGGAAAGTGAAATTACCATCATCCCCCCCGCGGCCACCACTTTCCCAGTGCCACAACTCAACTCAGCTCGATTCGATTCAATTCGTTTTCGATTTCATTCGGTTTTTGAATCGTTTCTAAGGTTCGCGCTTTTTAATACGCCGCATGCATAATTATTATGTGTACGTTCGGATCTCTTCACTTAGTCCCCATTTGCCGACACCCTGGCCTATAGTTTAGTGAAATTGAAAATCATTTTTGAAAGTGGTAAAATTATTCGCTGCCCGACAAAACACACATTCCGCGCGGCCGTTTAAAGCGAATGTTTTTTTCTGTTTGTCGTAATTTTTCATCGCGATGTTGTTTGTGCTTGGGATATACATATGTGTGTTTTCCATCTGTTTTTGTTTTTTTTGGTCACCGTATTACAAAATGTTAATTGCAGTCGGCAGAGTGAACCAAAATAAGTGCAGTTGAGGAAAGTGAAATGCGGAGAGTGGATGCTCTTCGAATGGCCTGGGAAATAATTGAAAAATGTTGCGGTAGCGGAACCATAAAATATATTGTATTACCCCTTTAAAGAAAAATGTATAAAAACATAAAAAATGTTTATAAACCTTTGTTATTGATATTGGTTTCTCTTTATACTGTACTGCACTAAAAACTAGGAAAAACACCGAACAACATGTAGAAAATTAGCTGATTAGAGCCCCATTGTTCGGGCCAAACTCCTGCTGTTTTCACCCACTGATACACTTCGCCTCCCGTTTTTATCCCCCCATCTTGATCGTCAGCTACATCAACATAAAAACCAACAGCTCGAGCGGCAGATAAATGTTTGGCTAACCCAAATCCACACACAAGGAAGGAAACTAGCGAGTCGCCTCGAGAGGCTCTCCGGCGGCAATCCAGTTTAGATTTCGACCACATTTTGACCAATGCACACCGATGCAGCGGGAGCAGGAAGCGTTTTATGGCCAAAAGCACCGGCCAGCATTTTGGGCATCACCCCGAGGGGCAGGGGCAAAAAGTTGTCTTACTTTCGTGAGCCTAAATGCACTTTTTCTTCTCCCGATGCGTCGACGCATCGACATCCCAGCTCTCTCCTTCGTCAAGTGGAATCACGGGATTGCATAAGTGAAATTTATGTCTTCTTGTCGTGGTGTTGCATCAGCCAGTTGCCATTCGCTCCTCGTAATCGCCTCCTGGCCCCGAAAAGATTCTTCGGCTAATTAAGCCGAATTATGCCAGAAAAACAGACCCAATTAAGTTGATCTATCTATCTATCTATCTCGGTAGTGTTGTGGGAAACATTCGACTCGAATTTTATGCAAATCTCGCTACTCTTTTCCGCATACGTCGTGGAAAATGCGCAAAGAGCGCGGGAAAAGCCATTCATAAGCAGGGCTGAAGGTCGCGATCCGATTTACCTTTGCCATTTGGCATCGCCTTGGGCGTGTGAGCCAGCTAGACAGACACCTGTGAAAAGGTCAACGCTAATTGCTCTTAACCAATTGGATTCCACCAATTGAATTCGATTGATTCTCGAACGACGAAGCAGGTGAAAGTGCTTTGTTCTAGTCGAAATATCAGTCGGCGGAAGTTCGAGGCGGTCGCGGTTGAATGATCGCCAAAAGATGCCGTCACATAACTCAGGCCGCGAGGTGGAAACCTTCCTCGTACGTCATCGGTCCGCACATAACTCACGCCCACCCGGGGGCGGCAGGTGAGACAGGTGGGCAGGCGTTATGACAAGTTGACTGATTGGATTTGCGGCCAAGCTGATGGCTGCTGCTCCTGTCAATGCACTCATGCACTCGCCTGCTCGATTGCCGATGGAAAATTGAAAATTACCCAATGCATAATGGGCAATGGCGGACGCTGGATAATATGCTAATTAACTCAATTTCCACGATCCGTAAACGTCTCACTTGGACAATTGTCTGCTTGGCGGAAACTGTGCGGCTGCCGGCATGAGAATATTTTAATTGCCCGTCAAAGAAGCTGAAAAAGACCTCTTTTTAAGGCCAATTCTTGCCGGCTAAGAAATATTTGGCAACAAAGTTTGGCACACGGAAAGAAAAATGTATTAGCTGGAATTTATACTTGATTTCTGTTCTGACTAAAATATAAAAATATTTATTATAATAAATAAATTGCGTGTTAGAATGATTCACACATTACAAAATGCTCAACACTTTTTTCAAAATTAAGTGCCCTTTGTTTTGTGTGGATTGTAATTTATTAATTAATACAGCCTAATACTAAGTTACATTGTTCCTTCCCTCTGCTAATTATGGCAAATACCCTAACCATATATTTAAGCACATCGCTCCACATTTGGCGCTTTTTAAAATTATAGTTTTTATTAAGTTTGTAACTAATTTGTAACAAAAGCAAACGCGGCAAAGGTCAGGTAGAAAAAATGGTTTCAACGCGTTATAATTGGTAAATATCAATGGGTTTATACGTTTGTTAGCAAACCAACCAAAAATACGAGGAAACGCATAAAAAAAAACGAAAACAAACAATTCAATTAAACTCATAATGGAATTTGTGTAACAACAAAACGACCTTGGCTGCAGAGCAAAGCCTAAAAAGCCAATTAAAAGCTAGATGCACGGCTCGAAAGCCACATGGCACTGAGTCAGAATTATGGAATTGTTGTTATGTCTTCGGATATATATAGTAGATATATACCAGCGAGGGGTGTAACACGATTCATGAGACCCACACAGTCGGATCGATTTTCCCAGCAGAAAAAACTTGTCGCCAACAAAGATTGCAAAACTGGAACAGCATCGCCGCAACTAATGCTAAAACATGTTAACATTTATGGCCGACTTGATTTGCATTTAGTGCATTCTTGTGGACACTCCCCCTTTCCTCCCCCCCTCGTAATGTTACATCCCCATCGCCTCCACTGTTAAATTCAATTAACCACAACAAATCATTTGAGGATCTTTTCAGCTAGGAGCTTAGACCGCTGCTGTTGGCCAAGTCTTTTGTTGGCCCAAAAGCTGTAAAAAGCCGCTTTAGTTGCGCCAAAGTCGAAGTCGACTGCGACTGCGACGTCTCTGCCAACGGCGACTGCTCTGCCGACTGCGACGTCGAGGCACTTGGATGAAAACCACGAGCGAACCACTCTTACTTACTTTGGCCCGCGACGCTTTTCATTTCTTCAGTCTGTTAACGGCACGCCAACGATGCAGACGCGTCTAGAAACCAGCTCCGGCTAACTGTTAATGCAAGCTAAATAGCAACTTGGTCTGTAACTGTAACACTCATACGTATCGAGTATACGCACAGTGGTACCAGCTGAAAGTGCGTGAGCTACCTGCCGTTTCAAGTGTAAAAATTCGAATTCGAGTGCAATTCAAGAAATCAAAAAAAAAAAAAAATAATAATAAATAAAAAAAATAAAAGTAAAACGCTTGGATTGTTGCTAATTTGGCGAGTTTGGCAAATTAAGGTCTTAATTGAATTAAGCCAAGTGAAAGAGAAACATCGGCGGCTGTCCAGGAAGAAGAAGAAGAAGCAGCAGGGGAGAGCGGTAAGTGTTGGATGTATTTTTTTTTTTGCCAAAAAAGGCGAATAGAAATTTTAGCTCTCCACTCAACACTAACCACACACTCAACGCATTTGGCTGTCTTGGCAATTTTGCTGTTTATTTTTTCATGCTCTAATTATTTGGAAATTTCATTTTGTTTTTGCCCACCGACACTCGTTAACTGGCATGCAATTTGTTTGCCCAAAGACTTACGGTCCATCCATCTAGCCATCCGTCTAACCAAACGGCCGTCCATCCTCTAGAGAGTCAAGTTGAGTCAAGCTTTATGGGCAGACTTCCTCATTAAAAGATAAGGTGGCCACTAGCCAGACCCCTGACCAAAGAAAAGAAACTGGTCCATCGGTGTATTCTTTGGGTTCGTTTGGGTTTTCCATCCACAACTCCATCTCCACTTCATTAACCCAATTTTCACCTGGAGAAACTTTTGGTTTCGGACAAGAAAAATCTTGTTTATCGGGCCAATTTACATAAACCGACATTTCTCTTCCCTAATCTGCGATCTGGCCTCTGATCTTAACGGAACTAATGTGCGCACTTATTCGTTTGTTTGTCATTTTAACATGAGGGCAAGCAGAAAAGGGAAAAAATAAATTACGACTTATTCACGACTTCTTTTTTTTGTTTGTGATTTTTATTTATTTTTATGCGAGCATATAGTTTTTTTTTTTTTATGCGAGCGGACAGCGTTTTCGAAATTAAATACTTTCTAATTACAATAAACGCAGGCGATGGCCGCCGGCCGGCCAATTGCCTGTCCCACGTCCAGCAAAGTCCACATCGTAGCCTTTGGCAGCGGACTGAAATCACGTAGCCGCCGCATCGGCCAATGCCAGCCAACATAAAGGAGGTGGACTGCGGGGGAGGGGAGGGGAAGACACAAAACTCGCGAAAGTGTCAAGAAAATATAATACCGCTCAGACTCACTTTTTCTTTATTGTCATGTCTTAATGTGGCGCCTGATGTGTTTATTTGCCACTGCCTCCTCAATACCCAAACCCCCCCGATGAAAGTGAAACGTGCGAATGACTTTGCGTAGCTGCAGAAGCTTCCATCGCTCAGCACGTGCCCAGCGATCCTAGCCGTGTGGTCTTCGTCTTTCGCGGCTTTCAATTACTCAACCGCAAAATGTTCAATTTGTCAAGCGTTGAGCCCCGGGATTACGACTTTCTCAGCGGGCCAAACAAAAGACTTAAGACCCGAACTTGGCTCATTAGCTGGCTTTGTTCGCCGGAATGTGTTGCAGAACCTAATGGTCACCGCGTTTTTTCGCTTTTGGTGCCTCACGGACTTTAATTAGTTGTTAAATTAAGAAATTAATAATGCTAGGTCAGTTATCTGCTATATGTTAGGTTCGGTAACACGATAATTTGCTAAAATTAAAAATAAATGAGCAATTATCCAAATGTCTTTGGTTACACAATGGAAAAATTGAATAATATAAAATCATTTAATGAGCATATTCTGATATTTATGAGACATGTCCTACTATACTGTGTTAGCAGGATTTTACTGTGGATACTAAAATACAACTTACAAATAAAATCCATTTTTTATTAACTTTTTTTAACTGTCAAAAATAATTGAGTGCAAAATTCAAGATCATTGTAAATCAGACTAGTAAAAAAATAAAATTTAATGTGAATTAAATGCCCATATATTTCCTTATTTTTATTTAAAAAAATAAAATCTATTTGATGCTATTTGATACGAAAATAACAAAAGTATAAAATGTAAATTTACATATAAAATTTTATAAAACGTAGTAAAAGTCAGGAATTGTTAATACTTATTATAATCTTATGAATTCCCCATAAAATGTACCACACAAAATTAGTCGTCTAATGAATTAAGCATTTTTCACCTTCGTTTTGAAAGATTAATATCGATTATGCTCAGCGGTCTTTCAAAACAATAATTATCCAGCACTTGTGACACGCACTGAATTCTAAGTGTGAGTAATTGCCTTGCATTCAGCAATATCAGATTTAAAGTGCATTGAAGCCAATGCAAAAAAATCAATTCAAATGGCTTCCAGGCCGGGCATTTATTGCTGGTCCGCTGGAGCCGAATCGTGATTTGCAGTTGCATGAGAGGCACCCCCTCATCGGCACCCCTCGAAAACCCACACAGTTGATTAGTCAGCAGCCGGCTGCTAAAACAAGGCAACCATTTGGGGCTTTTTGCTCCGTTTTGTCTCTGTGTTTTCCTTCTAGACCCCGCCGACAAGTTGAAGTGTCTTGGCCTACTGAATTTTTTCTCACACTCCGTGTCTTGGTCACGGATGTGGATTGATTGCTAATGTTCATCTGGGCACATACTGTACTGGCATATACTGGTATATATCTGCGGCAGGCGGTTTATGTGGATACCCTCGCCGCGTTGCACAAGTCCAAGTCTGGGCCAGAATGAGCCCCACACTCGAGTCTCGAGACCTGGCCAACAAGTACTTGTGGCTGGCTGAATGTTTTCCGAGCCACTCTTGCTTTCTTCAGCTGCTCCAGTTGGCTGCTGCCGCTTTGTGTTGTCAGCGCTTGCTTTATGGCTTTTCATATGTATATATATTTAGGTTTATACTATAGAGGAGGCAGCTCCAGTATTGCTCTGTTGCAATTGTCACATTGTTTTGGGCCAGTTATCTGCGGCTCAGTGGCGACGAGGACTGTGGCAAGAGTTTTGTAATTAGCTTGGCCCATCATTTGCGCAATTCGATTTGCGATAAGCCATTTAAGGCGGTGAATACCGCTCGTCAAACGGCCCAACGTATCCGGTTATCCGGTTTTATTATTGTGGATTGCGCAACCTCCGCTCCCCCGCATGCCAAATGATCGGGGAGAAAGACTTTCGCTTTCAAATGCTCGGGCATAAATTCTTGGGATTACGCAAGCCAAATGCCAGCGGCATGTTTTGGTTTGCTGAGCAGGTGCCACCAATAGGCGAGCCACCTCCACGATCATCAGCCATCAGCCAACCACTTACCTCATTTGGAAAGCAGCGAGAAATGAAAGTTTTTGTTTTTTTCTGCGTTGCGTGAAATTTACATTTCGTTTAATAATTTCAAACATTTCTTCGGCTTCGGGGTCGCTGTGGCATAAAATTTGAGGAATTAGTCGAACAAGAAATCAGTGCTTTTCCTACCGTTTTTCCTTCTGGCATTCGGTATTGGGGCTCTTTCCGGCAGGCCTGGCTAGCAACGCCCCCTGAATGGCAGCCATCAGACGGAAAAGTGCATTTCATTGTCGCTTTCGTTACGTTTTTGTTTTGTATTTTCTGTTTGGCGACGAGTTCATTGGCTCTGGATAATTTATGCGTTTGTAGTCACAATATATATGAATAAGGTGGCCATCAATCCCGGGCCCTGTCGTTAGCCAGTCACGCTAATTGGCCGTAACTCTAACTGAAAGATCTCCGATGTAGGATTTCGGATTTCAGCACCAGATCACCGATACAATCAGTCAATATTTAATGTGAGAATTGTGCAAGTTTCTGTGCAGACAGTGTGTGTCACGCTTTGGCATAGTTTCGATTGGTTTGCCAATAGTGAGTCACTTGGGTCACGCACATTCTTGGCTCTGCTGCGCTCTAATAACCCAGCTGCAGATCCGCAGGCGTTTCCAAAAAAGTAGGAAAAAATACAAAAAATACGAAAAATACCCCAGGTGAACGGAGAGTAGGTGTGTTTCTTGCGTGGCCAGCTAAGCGTGGCCGCTGCAGCCTCAAGATGCAATTAAGCCCGAAGAGCTCTAGAAACCGAGATACATCTGTATTACCACATCCAAAAGTCTCACTCTTGTAATCCCCATCATTTGCATCCCTTTTAATTACTCGCCAACTAATGCCACATTGTTTGGGTTTGCTTTTCGCCTTGCAGTTACCTCGACGATCTTCTGGCCAAGTTAGTTAGCTGTCGACTGCTGCCGCTGTTTATGGTAAGTGTAAATGTATAACGTACAATGGAAATGGAGTGACCTTGTCGGATTTGTGGGTGTGGTGCGTGTGCCGGGGTGTGGACACAGGTAATCCAATTAAATCACACCCAAATGATCAGCAAAGCGATGAAACAATGTCAATGCCAGAAGGCGAACTGTAATCCCTTCATGGATTCAAGACTATGTAGATCTATAAGCGGCTTAGCTCTTAGCCTGTTTACATCCGGCTTTGTGGCTTTGGTTTATGGTATTTCGTATTTCGTATCCTATCTTCCAATTAATTCGAAAGACTCTTAAAGACACGCCCCCGCCAGCGAGGAAAGTCCGCTTCGATATCTCGAGATGTGTGTGTGTGCCCCGAAATGAAAGGGAAACTTCGAGTTCCGGAGGGCATTGTCACATTTCACTTTCGATGATCGACGGAGTTTTCAAGTGCAGTACGCCTCTCTGAAAAAATTAAAAGGAAAAAGACAACAACAAGCCCACTGAGGTGTGACGTTGTTTGCTTTGTTGAACCTTTTGATAACTGGTTTTTGGTTTCTCGGAGCCAGCGGAGTGGTCCGAAATATTGACCGCAAGTGAGTCTAATTTCTATCATTTTCCCGCCATCCCCTCTTAACATTTAATAGCACACTGAACGGGCTGGCCGCCGAATGAACTTTCTTCTTTCACTGTGCCACCTGTAGACTGTAGACAGTGCTCTCCCGACTTGCTGCACCGCTGCAAGTTCCGTTTTTCGCTGTTACGATATTTCGCATTATTTTACTGTTTTCGTTTTTTTCGGTTTTTGCGGACTCTGGCGGACTTTTGCTTTCGTTTAACCCATTTAATGCGGCATCCGTTCGTTGGGGGGCATATGTGCAATTAATTCAGTGGAAAAGTGAAAACGAAAGTGCTCGTCGATCTGCAGTTGTGTGCTCACTTGGCCAGTGGTCGATGGTCAGTGGTCAGTGGTCAGTTATCAGGTTTGGTCAGTTGCCAGCCTCACTTTCGTTTTCGCATATTCATATGGCGAATCTTCTGGCCGTCTCTTTACTTAACTTGGAAGGCCTAATGATTACGCCGGCCGATGATGACGCAATTAGCATCTCTCCGCAGACGTATGCAAAACGGTTTTGCAATGAGGAAATCTGTCGCCGATCATTGATCGCGGTTCATGGATCATGGCTACCCAATGGCGCATTACCAGAGCCACGCCAAAAACCGCTGCCATTTCGCCTTAAGTATTGCAATTTCTCGCATTGGCCAAATGAAAACAACAAACAAGCGCACAATTATGGCCACTTGGCTGGAGCGGTTATGGCCACAGTCCGCTAGCCGACCAGTTGCACCGACAGTTACACTTGCCACACCAGCAAACCAATCCAGATGCCGCCGCCAAGACCAAGACCCCTGCAATTATCTCTTGATTTACGACCCAGCCAGTCAGTTAGCTAGCCAGCGAAACGAGGAGAAACCTTTCACTTGAACCCCGCAGTCACAAGCGATCGTGAAAAATGTAAATCGCCCAGAATCGACAATACAATCCAGCTGCATCCAACGCCCAGCGACCTTGGTTGGGCAATCAAATGGGTTCAGATGCAGTATGGGAAAAGGTCTCATTGCAAATTCAATGGTGGAACTAGGCAGAATTTGCATTTGGATCTGTATAATTACAAGGGACAATTAGTTACCAGTTCTGGGGGTTTTTTGTGTTCCGGTTTCGGGCTTTTGGCATTTTCGGCATTCAACCCACTATTTTTGACCTTTAATCGAAGTTTTGCGATCGGCCTGAAAACAACCTGCAATTCATTAATGTTTTCTGTATTTGCATTGTGAAATCTCGATAATTGTGGGTTGAAATGACCCAAAATGTAGTAGTTTTTCAGCAGAATTACTTCTTTATAAATTGGTGTAAATTCAGAAGATCAATAGGTGACTTCTTGTTCTTGTTGTATATAATAAACTGGCATTTGGGAATGTCAAGCTTTGCGTGCAAAAAATAATTAACCAAACTGTATAGGATTTTTATGGGATTTGGCTACTGTTAAAATCTAATATAGTATTAGATAAGTATACGATTCGACTTAAAAGTTAGGATTTAATATAATACTTAATAAGATGCATAAGAATTTTGTCTTATATTTTATTACATCGGTTAATTTGGAAAATTTATAATCGGGTATGCTACAATTAACTTAAAATCTAATACAAAATTAAATAAAGAGGAATACAAAAAATTAAACAAAAGAAAAGAAAAGAAAAAAATAGTTACATTTAAGATAAAATAATTAAAATTGAACAAAAAGAGTACAATAGTAATAATATTATTTATTTAATTTATTTCTATATTTCCTTCCAGGCACTTAAGCTATGAAGCAAGGCATGCAACTCACCGCCGCCTGGCTGTGCTTATTGGCCACGGCTAGTCTGGCTCAAAACCAAGAGTCCTCCGCCAAGTGGTCCAGGCAACTGGAGAATGTGGCCACCTCGGAAACGGATTCCCTCGACTGGATTCCCCTGGCACAGCCCCTCGATGGAAGCAAGGATCGCTCGGGCAATGGACGCGTGCTGACCTACTCCCAGACCTTTCCGCCCAGTGCTCGGTTCGGCGATCTGACCAAGACGGGCTCCCAGTTCGACTACCCCTTTCAGTTCCAGCGGTATCCCAATGGAGCGGGTCAGGCGCTGCCTCTTCGCCAGGCGCCACCACCACCTCCATCCACGCTGAAGGCCTCAGGAGTTGGTCAGGAGCCCACCTCGCAGTCGTTCTTCAAGTTCGAGATGCCCTTCCATGGCAACAACGAGGGACAGGCTCAGGCGCCGCCCACCCTCCAAACGGGCTACCAGATTCAGCACACCTTCGGTGCTGGAGCTCCAGGATTCCCGGCTCCCTCCTCGCTCTTCAGTCCCCCATCTCTCTTCGGACAACAGGGACAGGGACAAGCCTTCGGCGCAGACTTCCATTCGCTGGGCTCCCAGAAGCCTTTGGCACAGGCTCTGAATAAGCCACTTCATCAGCAGAACTACGTGCAGGATATTCTGCCTCCCAAGACCCTAGGAAAGCCTCTACCCACCCAGGCCTCCCTGCACAGTGTGACGCCACAGGTCTTTCCCGTGGATCCCGAAGCCGATACCCTCTTTGGTTCGAACAAGCCAGCTCCCTCGTCGGCTCCATCTTCCTCCCGCGATCAGGATGTCCAGCTGCTGTATGTGCCCTACGATACCCTGTACAACCAGCAGCGCCAGCAATCCGGATCGAGTGCCAACTTTGAGGTGAACAAGTTCAATGTGAATCCCGGTCTGCCTGCTGTGAATCCCTACCAGATCAACCAGTTCTACACCCAGGATCCCAGTGGAGGCAGTGATTACTTCAGCTCGGGGACCACTTCGAGGCCCAGTACCACCACCAGTCAGCCGCAGAGCATCTTCCAGAGCTTCGGACAGCCGCAGCTTCAGTCACAGACGCAGTTCACCACAGCGAAGCCCAAGCCGAAGGCCCATCAGCCTCCGCTGGCCATGTTCCTGCTGCGATCCAGCTCCCGTCCCTCGCAATCGGATGTCGTCACCGCCCTGAGGAGTGCCCACAGCATCTCGGTCATCGACTCGCCCACTAAGCAGACACCGGAGATCTTTGTGGGACCAGCTGGCATGCCCATTCCCGAGGGCTATGTCAAGTTCGATCTGCCATATCTGTCGCAGCTCACCTCCAATCGCGATTTGAGTGACGTTTCCTTCTTCGTGGCTCCCTTGAGCTACCGTACTCCAAATGGCTTCAACAAGATCCTGCTGCCAGAGCCCCATGTGGGTTCCATCGTGGTCAACAGGGCCAAGGATATCGGTTCCAGCCAGCAGCAGCGACCCCAACGACCCTATGCCGCCGTCAGCAGCACCCGCAATCCGTTCGAGACCACCACTCAGTCACAGATCCCGGCCCAAGGTCAGGTTCCCGAGCGGGGCAACAAGTTCAGCTACTACTACGTGCAGGATGGCATCCAGGAGGTGAGCTCCCCGAAGATTCCCGCCAAGCAGGAGCGACACAAGAAGAAGCGGCCGCAGAACGTTCAGGTGCAACAACAGCAGTCGATCTACCGACCATCGCCGACCAAGGCCCAGACTCAAAACCCCTTCGATACTCTCAACCAGATCGGCGGCGATGACTTCTTCAAGACCCTGGGTAGCAAACCCACTACCAGCTCCACTTCGAGCACATCTACGACGACCACAACGTCCACCACTTCGACGACGGCTGCTCCGCAATCCCTGTTCACCTACAGCACGCGACCACAGATCGAGTTCCCCGGCTCCAGTGGCCAGTTGTATCCGCAGTACGTGCAGGAACCGGTGCAGGAGCCACTTCCCCGGTTGACCACCCGACCGCCCACTGCCTCCACGGCTGAGGAGGAGCACCGCATGAAGCAGTACTTCCGTCAGCAGGATGCCTTCCGCCAGCGACCTCACACCACCAACCCTCCGTTCGAATATACCCCTAGTTCCGCGGACTACGAGGCTCCCCTGCCCACCACCACCACCACCCAGAGGATCAAGACGAAGCACCGGGTCAATCTGTATACTCCCGCTGCCGTTCCGGTGACCACTTCGGATGTGGGCTACAACAGTGTCGATCAGCAGGCGCCACTGAACCATCGGCCCAGCTATAACCAGGTTCAGAACGAGATTCTGGACAACAGCAATGTGGAGTACGAGCCAAATCCCTACCACGTGCCCTCGGAGCTGCCTGCCCTGACTCCGGATATTCCCGGACTGGTTAACAATCTGCAGGAGAAGGACAAGTTGCAGCCACCGGTACCCACCACTCCATTGGCCGAACCGGAACCGGAAACGCGACCCACCAGGCGACCTGTGCTGCGCACCCGCAAGCCGGCAGTTACCAAGGTGACCTCCTCCGTTTCCTACTCGGAATCGGAGTCCAATGGCAAGCTGCCCACTCACCGCATCCGAAGGCCATACAGCAGTCGAGGAACCACTGCGCCAGATGCCTCCACCGGCAGCGGAGATGGTGCCGAGGAGTCGGCAGTGACCCCCACTCGTCGTCCGACCAGTGCCCGGAATCCCCTCATCCGCAACCCCAATCGCATCCGCTACAGGCCGACCACCGAGGAGCGTCAGACGCTGAAGACCAAGCCGCGGAAGGGTTCGAAGAACGGCAAGCCGCACGAGGATCAGGACATTGACTACCAGAGGGATGTGCTCAAGCAGAACTACCCGGTGTTCAAGGCTCCGTCTAGGCGACCCACCAGCCCCACTGCCATTCCCAGCTCCTACGATGTACAGGGCACCACCGAAGGACCCGCCTCCGAGTCTCAGCAGGTGTACACGGTGACTCCCAGCAACAGCATCGATGGCGGCAGCGAGCAGAGCGGCTTCCCCGGCAATCTCCTCGAGCCCATGCAGATTGCCCAGCACTACCAGGAGTTCTCCAAGGACAACTACGGTCCCGGCTATTTCCCCAACCAGGAGGATCTCAGTCCCACGGAGGCCATCGTGCGCAACGAGGTGAGCCCCATCTACACGACACTGGCCACCACAACGCCCTCGACCACCACGACCACGACCACAACCACCACTGAGGCTCCATTGACCACGACTACCACAACACGTCGCTCGCCCTTCGTGAGAAGGAACTACCCGAGACTGCGCACAACCACGACGACAGAGGCACCAGTGACCTCCACCACACCCTCGGAGGATAGGCCATCGGTAAGAAATTTGATCAGGGTCACTAGCCGATCTAGCCATTTCCGTCAGTCCGTTTCTTCGTCGGAAAATGCAGTTTTATTGTGTTTATGAAAACCTATCAAATTGTAGAAGAAAATTTTCAAATCGGACCATTCGTTAAAAAGTTATGCGCGACCAAAGTTTGAAATCTTCATCTTCCTCGCACTCCCTTGAGCTGAGTGACGGGTTTCTATATAAATTACTACTCAAACATATTTAATATTTCTTTAGATCCGCGCTCGACTGCCACCCCGTCGAGTGGTGAAGGTGCGTCAGCGACAGCGTCGTCCATCGCATCCCGCCTCCTCTTCAACAGTGGCGCCCGAAGAGGAATCCGAGCCCATCACCCAGAAGCCAAATCTGCGCAAGTTGAGCCGCTACAACAACCAGGAGCCCAAGGAAAAGGAGGCCACAGTGGTTAGTTCATTATTTAGAAAATTGTAATAGCTCTACTAACATTAGTTACCCCTCCAGTCACCCATCACCCAGCGTCGTCGGTACAAGCAACCCTTCCAGCTGGAGGGACAGGAATCCCAATGGTCGCCATCCTCGGAAACAGCCAACAGCAATGCCAACTCGAACAGCTTCAAGCCGCTGAGTCCCAAGTACAAAACCGAGACGCACAACTTCGAGAGCGAACCGGAGATTGTGACCGCCGGGCCAACCAATCAGCCGGAAACCTACGAGATCAATGTGGCTGCCGATCTGGGGGGTTCGACGGTTCAGCGCACCACCATCATGGCACCCAATCTGAAGTAAGAACTTTGATTTCTGATTTCTGTGTAAATTAACCTACTACTTTTTTTTTTTCTTGAGCATATCGAAACAATTTTTTTTTTTATTTATTTAGTTCTTCTTCCTAACGCTACATATGTAATACTTATAATTTAATTCGCTAGTCACGCAGGACCAGTTAATTTTGTGTCTATAATTTTAACCAGGGACCGTAATCATTATGATTTTTATTTTAAAACCACACAATAATCATTATTAAAAAAAAATATAACTCAAAAATAATCATTACTTTTGAGTTTTAAAATGAAATTTAAAATATTTTTATTTTTTTTCGAAAAATAAAATTAACAATAATCATTATTTTTGAGTTTTATTTATTTCCGATCAAAAATAATGATTATTTATTTATTTTTATTTTAAAACTCAAAAATAATGATTTATTCCTTTTTTTGTATGTTGATCCTAAGTTCCTTATATTTTGGTTCAAAAAATAATTCAATAATCATTATTTACGGTCCCTGATTTTAACCTAACTCTAATTTACAAATTTTATTATACTTTTATTAAATCTAAAGCTAGAGGCGCTATGTTTATTTTACGTCATGTTAGCTTCTTGGAAATGAGAAATTAACTTTGCCCTAAACTACGTTGCACTACTGATATTTTGTATACCTTTTCTTCTAGGCCAGAGAAATCCTTTGCCGAGTTGTTGGAGGAGGTGATGGGCAAGGCCCCGGAGGCCGCCACCACCGAGTCCACCAGCAGTACCATCAGTCGCCTAAGCAGACGCGGCAAGTGGCAGAAGAAGAATCGTTTATCCGGCAGCTCGGATAACGCCGAGAACTTCGAAACGGCCGAGTCCCAGAATCTGGGACCTCAGCTCTACAATGCCCTTCAAGCAGCCAGCGAAAAGGAGGAGCTGCCCAAGACCACCACTCCCCTGACTCCCTCCACCGAGGCCCAGACAGAAACTGCGGTGGTGACCACCACAGTGCCCGCTCCCACGACGCCCGAGGAGTACGAGGTAACCACCGCCCAGGGCGTCGAGGAGGCCACCATCACCTCCACCCTGCCCGCGAGCGAGGAGAGCGCCACGCGGCGCATGGACACGGCGGCGGATGTGGACGACCTGGAGGTGCAGCCGAGCATCTTCTCGGAGGTGAAGAAACAGCTGCACGATCTTTTTGCCATCGAGGAGAGCGAGGACGAGGCAGTGACCGCCGCCCTGGCTGCCGTGGGCAAGCGTCGCCAGGAGTACACGAGTATCCGACGCACCAGTCCGGGTACGCAATTGGAGAAAACCACTTTGGCGCCCGCGGATGAGGCCACCACCACCACGGAAGCCACCGTGGCGGAGAGCAAAAAGGACAGCTTCCACAAGGATCTGATGGAGCACGTGGTGTACGCCACTTCCACTTCGACCAAAGTCACCTCCGAGACGGAGATCTGCTACCGCGGACGCTGCATCCGCTCCGAGGATCTGCCCGCCAACCACAAACTGCACTGAGCACACTCCTCCGGCAGCGGAAGGTGAAGAGATTCATCATGTAAATAGGGGCAGAGGGGATACGGATGGGGTTCAGGGGTCCAGGACGATGGCCCAACATACAAAACCGTATCCACTTGTAATTACCTAGCTTTAACTACAAATATGTTAAGGATAAGCAGATGGAAAAAACAAGATTTCCAGGAATTTTTTTAAAAAGGATTTCATGTAAGATAAGAAGTAATCTACTCCGTAAGAACGTTATACGAAATTTCTATAAAGAGAACTTCCTTTCTTAAATTCTTGATGCTTCCATTTAGAACAATTAGTTGATAGATCTTAGTGTTAGCATTACGTCAGGATACCACATAGCCAGCATATAAGTCTTGTACCATATGTACATCGTTGTGTACTAACATTACGAATGCAGATACAAATATCAATAAAACCGAAACGAAAAATCCACACAGCGTGTTTCCGATGCTTTATACATAAATAGTATATATATTCCGTATGTAGACATAAATATGCGTCATGTGTATAGCTAGTAATACGATACTAATTGCGATTCATCAATTCCATGGAATGCTTCGCCCTCAAGGTACAAAAGTTTCACATTTACAACCAATCCCTAGGCCACGTTTTACGTTCTGTTATAGTTTATGCGTCGATTAGCGGGGCTCGATCCTCGTTAGCTTCGTCTGGCTCTCCTCCTCCTCCTGGCGAGGGCGTTCTCGTCGAAGGAGCAGCGTTCCACGGTTGAACCCTTGTGCGTCCAAAAAGCATGAACAGCAGATTACCGATAAAATAAACGAAGGCGGTGAAGAAGAATACTATTCGCCATTGCGACGGATTCGTCTGGAAAAAATAAACATAATAATTTAGAAAATCATAGAAGATTAAAGATCTTACCTCATCCCAAACTATCAGTCCCACGATCAGCGGAGCCAGTATGCTCATAAAATTAGCAGCACAATTGGTAATGCCCATCAGTGTACCCGCATAGTTGGGCGACAAGTCGATGTGGTTTACATGGAAGCCCAAATAGGTGGCCGAATTGGTTGCCACCGCCGCGGTGAGCAGTCCAATGGCCAGGCGGACATTGGCCTCACCCTCGGTGATGTAGCCCAGTCCGATCAGCGCGAGCATAGGGAGCCACATTCCCAGCGTGTTGAAGAACTTCCGGGAGAAGCCCAAGGGGATAACCGTTCCCCTTTGCTTCAGTGCGTCCGACAGCCAGATGAAAACACAGGTCAGCAGGATCATGGCAAAGTAGGGCAGAGCCGATAGCGGTCCATTATTCTTGATGTCCATGCCCAGCACGTTCTTCATGAAGGTGGGAATCTCCGTAAGCAGAGTCCAGAAGCCCCAGTTGTTGGCACAGTGGGCGAGGACGAGCACCAGAAAGGGACCCGAGGTGAGGATGCTCAGCCAGGGAGTCGGCGGCCTTGGCTGTTCCTCGCGTCCCGCATCCGAGGGCCTCCTCGCCTGACCCGAGGACTCAATGTATCGCCGCTCCATTGGCGTTATCGTGGGATGTTGGGCCGGAGTGCTGGAGCAAAGATAGAGCCACACGAAGGCCCAAACGATGCCAACGCATCCGGGAATGTAGAAGGTGCTGGGCCAGCCCAGCGAGGAGGATGCAATGTAACCGCTAACGGACAGCATCACCACGGTTCCGAACTGCGAGCCTGAGTAGCTGTAGCCCACCAGGCGACCTCGCTCCTCCGCCGGTGCCCACTTCGATAGGAACGTGTGTGTCGAGGGGAAGATGACGCCCTGGCAGAGTCCCTGAACCGCCCGGAGCACCACCACCAGTTTCCAGCCACCGCTTACGGCACAAAAGGGTGTCAGCAGGGCCAGAAAGGAACAGATGAGCACGCCGTAGAATAGCATGTACTTGGCGCCATAGATGGCGGACAGATAGCCGCCGGGAATCTGGGTGACCACATAGCCCCAGAAGAAGCTGCTGAGCAGGTACGATTTGGTGCTCTCGTTCCAGTCAAATTCCTGCGAAAAACAAGTTTTATAATTGCTGATTCAGAAATTTATATTGGAGCTCTGAATGAAACGAAAGCACTCTTATCAGCTTCCCATTGAATTATTCCAAATTGTTGATTCATCCGGAGCTCCTATCGAAATACATACAGGAAAATCCGGATTGCTGGCATTGCGATCCGTCATGGCCACAATGGCCACGGAGAGATTCACCCGCAGGGAATAGGCCACCGCCAGTCCGAAGAACACCAGGATGCACTGCAGATGACGCACTCCGAACCGGGGACCTGCAAAGTGCGCAATAATTGGCGTAAGTCATCGCGGATGCGGAAACAAAGGCCAGAAGGTCATGTAACCCATCGCACGTCCTCACCCGTATTCCCGATCTGCTGGTACCCATTGCGTCCGCAACATGGCAGCCATCCAAGCACCATATTGCAGGTGCACTCTCTTCCACGTAGCCAACTTAGATGATGCGTTGGATTAGTGCGATGGGGCGGCTCGGGCTCGGAATGGGGGGAAAATACGCCTTCGCTGAGCGTCCAAACATAAACACAGCTGATGCTAAAAACAACAAAACTTGTTGTTAGGGGCGGAACTATCGAAACTATCGCTCTAACAAGTGCGACGATAGTTGGAGGCGGAGACGTGACTTAATTCAAATTTTTAAGAACTTTCCATACAAATATGGGTTGAGTAAACAATTTACACAATTTAATAAAGTAAACTACTTTTGAAAAGTTGTTTTTTTTTATACAAACATAAGCACCATCAAATATGCTCCTGTAATAAAAACTAGTGGAAATAGTTTATTATTTCCCACCACTATTCGATTGTTGCAATAGAGTTGATAGTGCGCTGCTATCGATAATTAGCCGGCGACTGGCTATCAAATTCAAATACCCCTCCAAATAAAACACCATTGATTTCGGTATACTTTGATTCTTTTGCAGCTGCGAACTGAGCTGTTTTATTCATGGCTAGTATTGTCTTCATTTTTCTTTTTTTGCCTTTTTTAGTTTCCTTTTTTCATCACAAGATTGGTTTTCGTTAATGCCTAACTTAACACTAAAACATAACAATTACTAGAGTTGGTGTTGCAGCAGCGAATTCTCTCCTCGCGGGCTCTGTCCCTATTTACACTGAACGTTTTCTCTCAAGTTGCAAGTTTAATTGGTTTGTTTGTTTGTTGTTTTTTTCTTTCTTCTTTTTGGATTATGTACATTATGGAAAATACTGCAAACAATAATAATTTACGCTGCCTTAAGACTAAGCAATTACCGTATAATATCGCTAATGGAAGCACGCGATTGTCACTAAAGTTAACTTTCAGCTGGTCTGGTCTCTGGTCTCTGATCTCTAACTAACTAACTACGCCTACGAAACTATGAAACAACAGCCCGGATGATTCTGGATGCGGTGCGGTCTCTATTTGACCTGGCCATTGGGCGCGAGGGGAGCGCCCTGCTCCGCATCCTGCTCCTTGTTGTCCCTCGGCGAGTCCCACCACTGGACCTCGGTGCGTCCGAAGATGACGAACAGAAGATTGCCCAGGAAGTAGAAGCCGGCGGCCAGCAGGAAGACTCCACGCCACTGGGTAACGCTAGTCTGTAAGAGGATGAGGATATCAGTAACTACTTTTCCTAACAATTATGATCTATCAAACTTACATCATCGGTGACAATCAGTCCCACGATCAGTGGGGCCACCCCACTCATCACATTGGCCGCTCCATTCGTGAGGCCCATCAGCGTGCCGGCGTAATTCGGGGACAGATCGATGTGGTTCACCTGGAAGCCCAGGTAGGTGGCTCCGCTGATGCCCACCGTCAGGGTGAGCAGCGTCACCGCCAACGGAGCATTATCGGTGGGCACATAGCCCAGGGCGATCAGCGAGAGCATGGGTATCCAGTGGCCGATGCTGTTGAAGATCTTCCGATTGAAGGACAGCGACAGGCCCTCCTTCCTCTGCAGCACTTTGGACAGCCAGACAAAGAAGAAGCTCAGGAGCAGCATCGCCATGTAGGGCAGCGACGAGAGCAGCGCTCCGTTCTTGATGTCCACGTGGTAGATCTGCTTCATGTAGGTGGGGATCTGCATGAGCAGCAGCCAGTAGCCGAACATGTGGGTGCAGTGCACCACCAGGAGGGACAGGAAGGGCAGTGAGCTGAAGATGGCCTTCCAGGGCGTGGGAGCCAGCTTCTCGGCGGACTGCATCTTGCCATCGCTGCGCGAGTCCGTGATGAACTTCAGTTCCTCCGGCGAAATCAGACGGTGCTCCTCGGGCGTGCTGGCCGAGAAGAGGTACCAGAAGATCATCCACAGGAAGCCCGCAGTTCCGCCCAGATAGAAGATGCTCGGCCAGCCCAAGGGGGAATCGGCGATCAGGCCACTGGTGGCCAGCATCACCACCGTTCCGAACTGGGCGCCCGAGTAGCACAGGGTTCCCAGCATTCCTCGCTCCTCGGCCGGCGACCACTTGGCCAACAGCGCATGCGTGGCCGGATGCACTGCACCCTGGGCCAGGCCCATTATAAATCGCATGGCCGCGAAGGGGAGCACTCCAAACTGCAGGGACAACGGCGATAGCATCGTGATAATAGCCGCTATGCCCAGTCCGTACAACAGCATGGTCTTGGCTCCGTAGCGCTGGGCGAAGTAGCCACCCGGCACCTGGGTGACTATGTAGCCAAAGAAGAAGCTAGATTGCATGTTGGCTTTATCCGAGGTGGTCAGATTGTAGTAGCGCTGTAGAGGATAGGAAATTATTACAAAGTGTTCAAGGGTAGTTAAACGTTGGGAAGCACAGAGAAAAATATCAATTTTTCCATAACAAAATGGTAAGATTTCATATTAATATGGTACAAAATATGTTCGGAAATATCATTTTGATATGAACCCAGAACGGAACAAAATTAATATGAAAAAATACCCATTTTATGACTATCATTGGTCTCTTTTTTTCTCTGTGTATGTATTTTGATGGACTGTAACTATCAGTGCTAACTTCAAGTTTACAGTAAAAACCTCAGAAACCACATAGAATTATGGTATTCGGAAATAATAAACATAATTTCTGAAGGTTTTCATGTTAGTTAGAACCACATCAAAATACAAATTTTAAATGTTCAGAAAAAAACTTACATTCGAGTTGAAGATGTCAATCTCGGAGTTGCTGGAAAGCCCGCCTGCATCGGTGGAGTTCTGGGCCAGGATGGTGCTGTTGTCCGTCATAGCCACCAGAGCCACACTGAGGTTCACCCGCCAGGCGTAGCTCATGGCGAGGCAGAAGAAGCACAGGATGCACTGCACATGCCTCACCCCGAGGAATTTCTCTGTAGGTGGAGAGATGTCGGAGGAGAAGGTTAGTGGGAATATTTTATTGGGAAGAGGGGTCTTCACATGTGGCGCTTTTTCTCCGTCTCTCTTAGCCTCTTATCGGAGCTCTCTCTCTCTGGCTGTCTCTCTCTCTATATCTCTCGCTCACTAAGCCCAAACTGGTAGCCATGTAAGTATGTGGGGCGCGTTTATTTATAAAACACTTTGACTATGTCAAAATCTTGTTCACGCACGCACATGCCAGCGGGCCAGAAAGAGATGGGTGGATCACGTATACAGATACACCCACTCGACCAAAGTTGGCTGCGAATATTGAGAATCGGGCATTGAGAGACCCGCAGCCCCGCGTTGTCTTTGTTATTGTAAAATGTCGTGTAAAATGCAGCGAGACGGTGCTGTACTATACCATGCCATAAAGTATGAGGTATAAAGTATAAGGTACATGTGGTCCACACACTACCTGTTCGAGGCGATCGCCCGATCGGCCGATCCTCACGTGACGATCTCTTGCCGGTGGCACACGGCACACCATTGCACATCGCATTTCTCACTGGTCTCTGCCTTACGCGGATTTGTTTTCGTGCATTTGGCTATTTTTAAACCCGACTTTGGCTCGCCATAAATGGCTTAGTCTTTATAAATAGGAGTGGGCCGGCGGCAAAGTGGGCGGTGGGCGGTGGGAGGGTGGTGCACATTGCAACACCGCTCCACCGCTGGCAACCTTGCAACGCGGCCTTACAAGGCACTGGGGTCTATTGAACTCCAAGCTACAGTTTGATTCCAAACCATCAATTATAACTACAGTCCGAAACCACTACAGTTTCAATTTCTTAAAGTTGTATTTCTTTTAAAATTCCTTTTTTAATCTTTTAGGAAATCACAATGGTATGTATAATAAATTATCACAACTGGCAAAAATAAAAAATTCCAGAAAACTACATTTTTGATAAAAAAAATCTACTACTGATGAAATAAAAAAACGTAGCACTACTAATACTTGTGAAACTCTTAGTTTTAACAACTCATTTAAGTTTCATAAAACAGTATAATAATAACCATCGGATGATGGTGATTCAAGCTACACGAGTTGTACTGTTTTTCCAGTAATTTCACATTTGAATTGCCGTCCGAAACCGAAACTGACGTCCGAACTTTGAGCTCTCTCTCCCACTTCCACTTCCACTTCCATTTCCTCTGCCCGGTTGAGTGGCGCTCCCTCTGTCTCTCTCTGACTCTCGGTTCCTCTCTCTTTCCCCCGCGGTCGCGCCGTCTCTTTCGCGTGTTGAACGCGATGACTCGTGGTCGTGTGAGAACGCTTTATCTGACACGTTTTTAAATTTATTTGCGCAATGTCTTCCCCCTTAGGCGTAACGCTGAGCAAATTTATGGCCAAGATATAGAACTTTTTGTCTCGAGACGGAGAGTGCCAGAAAAGAATCAGATACCCCCCCGTATACATTAAAACCTACGACCGAAATAACGATTGCAAACTAATTTTCTGCGGAATACACGACGAGCCAAATCAATCAGCATTTATGAGCCTCCATAAAGGCAGAGCTCCAGCTTGGAGTGTTTATTGGGCACCATTTATAGTATATTCGCGTATATTTTGATTGATTGCCGGCCCGGTACAGTCACCGCCAGTGCTTTGTCCGTTAGTGGGACGGACAAGCGAAGGACACACAGCACTAAGTGAGTCAAGTGTGCCGTATTGATAACCGATAGCCCGAGCCCCGATAAAACTGGAACGCCGCCGAGCTTTCCAGGCGCGGACAGAGGACCCCAGTCCCCAGGCAGCAGAGTGATAAGATAATCGCCGGTTACAGCGTCGCCTTTGCTGTTATACCACCCACCACCCACACAGCGAGACCATTATGTTTACCGTTAGAACCTAGGAAAGACAACAAGGGGAGCGGCACATGCATTTGGAACGTGCAAGTGTACAGATGGCGGACTATTTTACAACTGTGAATTTGTCTTTGGGTTTACGGCTTATCAGCTGACTAAACTGGCTGCTCCCCATCCCACCCTATCCCCCAACCCCGTAATGTCGGGATCTATTTAAAGTTCTTTATTTCATTGGCGCAGAAACACTGCTTCTGCCCCCACCACCACCTCTCTTCTCTTCTCGTTTTCGTTCGTTTTGTTTATTTTTATCACTCGAAAGTGCTAAAATGTGATTTTATTTTGTTTGTCAGCGTAACCGAAAAATCACAGAAAAAAAAAGCACGTAAATAAATTGAGGAAAAATTAAATTGTATCTCGGAGGATGCAGTTTTGTGCAGTGGAGGTCGTCTATAGACTGTATAGATGTATAATTATTTCTGATATTTGCGTGAACCGCTGAAGCATCGCTTCCAGTTGAGCAGCTAGGTTAAAAATGAAAACGAACAAAAAAAAAGTGATTCTACAAATGGAGCTAACTGGCGACAGAGATAGAGATCGAGATAGGAATATGGGAGTGCTGTTAGAGAACCAATTAGGCGGTTTCCGGCAACACAAGCTCGGATCAAGTCGAACGATCGCGACGCTTACATAAGACACGTGCTTCGGACGGTGGTCCAAGTGGACGTAAGGCTTGGAGAGAGATCGATCTCCAGTGGGGGTGTGTTCTACCTTGCTATTGGACTTACCGTTGGCGTATTTACCACCCGTTTTTACCATGGTCAATGCAGTTGTCATGTGTGCGGCGCGGGTTGAGTTTATATTGTATAGTGCTTTTTATGCGATTTTCTCGAAACGTTAACGTTCGCGTTTGGGTCACTGGAATTTCTCGATATCTCACACAGCGTGTTCCGGTTCCGTCATGAAGTTGCCGCACATGTGTGTAGCTGCTGCCGTTTACGCGTGTTTTCCCTTTGGTTTTCGAAACGAAACGATTACGGATCCAGAGATTCTGGGCGTAGGACTTTTCAAACCTGTGAGTTTTCTAGCGACGAGCGGGTTTTGAACGTTCTGGCGAACGACTGCGACTGCTTGAGTAACTGGCGGCGGTCGATTCTTTTATAAATATGATCGAACTCGGCCCGCCCGACCGCTCGACCAGCCGCTCTCTCACGAACACCACGAATCGTCCGGAGAGAGCGTGTGTATCGCGTGAATTCCGCTATCAGTCAAACCGAACACGCTGGCACTCACAGATACTCTTTGTGCGTGTGTGTGTGTGTGGATTTCTCTCTGGGTGAACCGGCGAACGGGAGTAAGTAAACAACACCAAGACCAGCACATGGTTATCAGTTCGGGCCAAGTGGTTACCCCGCTACCCGCTACCCGAACCTCCGATTTCTGGGTATTGTGGCTGCAGCAGGCTGTAACATTAGTCACAGATCGCTCTGCCTCTCCTACTTAAATCTCTCTCTCTTTCTCTCTCGAAATCTCTCTGTTCGGACAATCCGGTATCTTCCAGATACAAGAGCAGACCATGGGCATGAATGAAATCCTAAAGTCCTGCGGACCTGTAGGTAAACAGCTCATCCAACCCGAGATAAGGTGCCTCGAAAATCGCCGGCGAGGTTATTGTGTTCCACTGATAAGCCTGGAACAACCTCATCTCGGTTACAGTACATCTTCCAAGAACTCTCCGTGTGCTGGCTAATGACATAACCCAGCCTCGAGACGATCTATAACCGCGCTCCGGGTGATCGATGGACACCATTGATTCAATTCTATTCTCACTCGCTTGCATAAGTCACAGACCCTTTGATCAATGCAATTTTCACTTCAAGATGACACGAATTCCCCCTTCCACTTGCCTCACTTTAATTACTCCACTTGTTTATTTGGTTTCCATTTTTATTGGTTTTGTTGTTCTTCCCCGCACGGGGCTTATCAAAATATAATTGCTGAAAATGAAATGTTTAAAACAAATTATTTATGCTTATCAGCGAGCGACACTTCAGACTTTGATTTTCGACTAAGTAAATGAGCCGACCACTGGGCGATCCCCGCGCCCCGGCCCACTTCTCTCCATAGTTCGGCCAGGAAACGCTCTGCAAATTCATTCTGATTCTGACAAACACCCAAGGGACGACGGCTAGTGGGGGGAGGGGCAGGCGCAGGAGTCAGGGGCCAATGACGACAGCTGCTGGCTGATAACGCTCCACTCCCATTCCCGTATTTACAGAGAGCAAAACTTTTAGTACACCATTTTATTATGGTTTTTATGATTTATTTCTAGAAATTTTAAGGATTAAAAGCGGAAAATAAAGTCGGTTTATTACAGATCATTTCTTATTCCTAGAGTTGGATCAGTCTTTATTAATACAGATTATATAGATCAGAAATATACATGTTCTAAATATACCCTAAGGATTCTTTAGTAAAGATTCATCCAAATATTTAATTTTAGTTAAGACCTAAAACTTAAAAATGCAAAAGTTAAAAGTATTGATTCAATTTATAAAATTGAATATATGATAGGTAAAGAGCTATGAAACGATGATTGCTTATGAATAAGGGCCTATTTTGTTCTGATTGAACGGACATTATTTTGTTTACTGATTGACTTTCTTACAAGCAAACATAAAAAATACTTTCAGTGCAGGACTTTTACTCATTCAATTGCTATATTTATTTGTTTTCCGTGCATTTTGTTGATGGCAAATCAATTTTGGCACATGGCAGACACGTTTCGAGGCACGTTCATTTACTGGCTGCCTGAATTGCGAATCTCGAGACATATGCACGTTATCGGCTTCCGATTTCGGAGGGCATTCGATTAGCCGGGCCCACGGGTCCCCAATCCATAACCCTCTTATCGGCACCGGATCTGCGGCTAAAGAATTAGCCATCGCCCCTAATGGGACATTTTTGGTAAGTGATTTGAGCGAATTGCGGATTTATGGCCGGCTAAAATTAGAGAATGTCGCGAAATTCCAGCGATGGCAATCTAATCGGGTGACACGCCCACTTCAAAAGGCAGGCACTGATGGATGTGATTGTTACAGCACCAGAGCTTATCGCCTGACGAATGGTAAACAGTCAGTCCGCTTGACGTCAACTATTCGGGGGATCGGGGGATGTGGGAATTGGGGGATGGGGGATGAAGTCGTAGGATCGCTGGATCCGGGGGTTGGAGGAGCCCACCCACCATATGGCGCACCCCCACATGTGAGCCCTGTTCTAGACTAATTAATATGCAGCTTTTTCTTACACGAATTGTTCAAATATCGATCTCGCAGCGGAAAAATTATTTACGCTGCATTACGTATACGCCAGGTGTAACCAAACAAAAACCCTCTAAACGGGCTAATTGTGATCCGGTGTTGTGTACCCATCTATATCGATGGTTCTGGCTCCTTTCCAATGCTCGTTGGGAGTTTTTTTCCACTGCTAATCACGATGTCCCCGGGACACACGGACATTGTTTGAGGCGTTGGCGCCAACAGCATTTTAATGCTCTCCGCAAATGTTGGCCTATGGAAATAAGTCTCTGTTGGCACTCTTCGGGGAGGGTATATCCCATTTTAGGGTGCAATTTGGCAGCAATAGATCTTCAAGTGCATTTAAAGATTATTTTTTAATACTCCATAGGTGCAATGCATCCTGAAACTGTTACAAACTGTATAAAAAAGAAAAATAAATAATTTAAAATGTATTGTTACTAATAACGATTAATATTAGATTCACTTGTATTTTTATTGTTGAATTCTTGATTAAAAACCGGCACAAATAAAGTATTTATTATAAATATTTAGTTAAAAATATTTTAAATCATTTAAAACATGAACTTTGTCCCGAGAGATCAGAATTTCAATTAAAATGTTTAATTGGAGTAAATTTTTTTAAATTTTTTTGTAATTAAACAAAATACTTTATGCCATTTTCTAATTCGGTAACAATTAGACACTGTGGTGACTCGACTAAAAAGTCGTGCGGCTCTCATAAAACCAATCAAGGTTACCTAACATCTTTAAATAGCTGAAACTTTTCCATTCCTAAAGATAGCATTAATTAATTTCGATCAATATCAGTTACCGCTGGCCAGCCAATAAATTTCAATAAGTGGAAAAGAGTATTCCAGCGTCGATCGCTCGACTTTTGACCAAATTTAGATGGCTTTGCATGCAAACAAGTCGAGTTATATCGATCACAATATTGGAATTTATATTTCTGTGGCATCTAAATGTTTGGGCAAATGGCTCATTACAGCGGGGGATCAAATCGATTGGGATTGTGTGAATTCCTAAGGCATATTTGAGTTACCGACTGGCGGCGTAATTGAATTGTGTCCAATCAGCGGCAATTGTCCATTGTCCACTGCCACCCGCCAATTTCAATTAGCGTGGGTCGCTGGAAACTTTTATCGGATGTATTGGAATTGGATGTTGATCGGCGGTCTGCTGGTGGGTGTGGCGATCTGGGGGCGCGGCCCTCTATTAGCACCCCGTCTTCGGGGGCGAAGAAAGAAATGTCTGTGGGTCAGCCAGTTGGCAAACACTCAAAGACGCATATTTGCGGAAAAATTTATTCAAAATTTTATTCAATTTAATTGCAGTCGGGAAGCCTGAGAGGCGATCCCCTATAAATAGATCTTTTTCGGAGCGGTTATTTCCGCCGGAGGTGGAAAGAAATAACGATTGCCTTGAGTCACTCGACAAATCTCGCGTGGACGCAGTGCGACTGCAGAATCTAGAATCTTATCTCGCGGAAGATTTCGAGGGTTTATGGCCCAAAGGCGTATTTCACAGTTTATTGTGTAAGCCTTATCATTTTGCAGGCGACTCTGGCGAACAGTAGCTGTGATTTATCACCTGCGGCGTGACATCACGGGGCATTAGGCGATTATCTAGCGACATAGGGCTAAAACCCAGATCCAAAGATCAGGCGAAAAGTGCTCAGGATGACTGGGCAGAAATGGGCCCCAAAAGTAGCTAAAACGAGCGACACTTTGGTTGTGAAATGGAAATTAACAATTCATTATCGCTGCGGAGACAGCTGAACACTCGCTTGAATATAAATACGAATATAATTTGTTGCAAAAAACAACAAACAGCATTGGGTATTATTTGCGTTAACAGTGCAAAAATGATTAAGCGATAACCTTAAAGACAGAGACAGAGGGAGAGTGAGCGAAGAGAGAGAGCGAGAGGGGGACAAAGAATGCGATCGCCGATCAGAGAGAAAGAGAGAGAGAAAAAGAGAATGGGGCGCCGCACTGTGCTAATTGTTTTTGCCATTTTGCAGGCCCCAATCCGAATCACTCACACACCCATGAGTCCGAGACCCCGAGAGCATTGGGGCTCTCTCGGCCGATCTTTGATCACGTTTCCCGCACACGACGAAGGCACCCGATTCCGCCGCTCGGCGCCTCGTTCACGTGATAAGCATGTGCGCTGGCTCTCCCTCTCTTTATATTTTTATGTCGAAAACGAGTCACAAAATGAGTTTGTCATTTTTTTGCACTTTTGTGGGGGGAGTGTGGAGGGGGGCATGAAGTTGGGACCCCATGGGTGTGTGCTACCCATGATTTCACCACCGAGGAGAGAGACACTCGAGAAACTGCCGACTCACACCGAGTCGGCCGACTATCACGCATTTCTCATTCCCCATTCTGGTCGAGATTTGCACATTTTATTTTGGGCCCCGATCCCCCATCCAACCAGTTTACGGTGATGGCCAAAAACCGAGGCCAGAAGACTAACCGAAGCCCTGCACCGGGAGAGATTAACCTTCAGATATCTATTCAATAGTATTTTAATAATTCTGTAACCAAAACATTTTATTGTTTTTGATACTTTCAGGATTATTTACAAGACTTTCCTAATTATATAATTTTAACATTTTATATTATTCTTTTATTTTTTTCACCTTATTTTTTTGTAATTTTTGAGAATAAACAGCTCATTTCTAAACTATTTTTTCAGATAAGAAATAACAAAAGTTGTTAATTTAATAAGTAAAACATTTAAATTATGGTTCATGAAAATATCACGGGAAGTTATCAAAGTTTTAAGACGTTTAACTCTGACTTTGATCCTTTTTTTTAACAAAATATTATATATGGCTTAACATAAATTAATTTAAAAATTATTTAATATAAATTTAAAAATATTTAAGTGTAAAAAATGACTACATTTACCAATAAGACTTTTTTGTACTTTCCCTCTGTGTAGGAAATTGCTTGGCCGATAGTACAAGTGGCCACGGTTCACTTTACGGTTTTATTGCGACTTGATAAGATCTCTTCAGATTTCATAAAAATAACTCCCTTTAAATGGGCATTTAATGGATTCCCTTATCACTCAGTTGCTTAAGAGCTCAAGATTTCAGAGCATGTGGTTGGGGAATGAAAATGGCTGATACACCCAGAACTCGGAACTTACCCAGCACGAGATCCAATTCGAAATGATAGTTTCACTGGGAATCGAATTTAAATTAGGTTGACTCAAATTCTCTCGCATTCCCGTCACACAACTAAAAATACTTATGTGTTTGTATAAGTCGCCGTACACATAACACTGCCTTTGTCCATATCGCGTGCTTGAGGTGGGGAAAAAAACATTTATTCAAATTCCGCTTATCAACAAGTTCGCCCCGCCACTGAAATGCCACCGATCCCCCCACACCAGCCGTCTTATCCCTCGATTTCCATTTGCCCGCCGAGTTCGAAGCTATAAAATGTGCACGGCACTCTTCATAGCATGTGAGAGATACGCTCGAAATGGGGATTAAATGATTGCAAAATTGATTTGCCAGCTTGTCTTAGTTTTGTGATACAACTTTATGTGATGGCGGAGCCCAGCGTTAAGTTTTCGGTTAAAATCTACGTTATTTGCTACGTCAGCAGGGCCTCAGATAGGTGCTGTTGGCCACAACACATTTTCCTGGATTTGTAGTTAACCGGATCTCATTTCCAAAACTCCACATACACGTTCCTAGGGATACAACATTTTGAACCAGGTTGATCGCCCGAAACTACATTTGTAGCCTCTACGTGTAATATACATGTATTCTTCATGCAAACAAACATGAAGTATACTTGACACACTAATTACTTTCTACATGGAGATCTTTGTTTTTTAAAGCATACTTTTTTAGACGTTCGTCGCCATTCATAAATGAGGAAATCTATAAATACTTCACATTTTACACCTTACAGACAACTTTTCTACTACACACATCAACCATTTTAAATTAGTTATGGTCACTGAACCTATCATGACATTCTCAAGTCATTGAAGTCAAATCTTTTACCTTTGTGGAGGGAGTAATGAATTCATTCGGAGTTTGCAACTTATAGTATAAAGTATATTCTTGATCGGATCACTAGACGAGTTCAGTATTTCAGTTTTTAAGCTTACTACGTCTTATTTCTATTGCAGGTAGTAAATCCAAATTTAACATTATTGTATTATTATAGGAATGATCTGCAAGGGTAAATAAACTCCGGCTGGCCGTAGTTCGCTACCTTGGAATTGCCTAAAAAAAGAAAACTAAGAACGAAATAATCGTTAATAATTCGTAATTAAAAAGTACTACGTAATCCCTTGTTTTCTGATAAATATAAGAAAATCTAGAGCTCTTTTCCCGCAGTCAATTTAAAACTTTTAATAATAATCGCATTTATCTGGCCTTCAAATAGCGACCGGTTCCCACCCACATTAAATCGCCACACCGTGTGGGAATCAAACATTGTTGTGGCTTTCTTTGCACATGTTGCTCATGCATGTTTTATTATTTTTTTTCGCATGGTTGATCTTATCAATTAGTCTTTAACAACTAGAACTTAAGACGAGGGGAATGCAAATACGATGTAGTCACAGTTAACAAATACAATTTACAAATATACACGGCCAATGCGAGAATGCATTGTGCCCGGCTGCAGTTAGGATTGATGGTTTGGATTTGGAGGAGAACGGAACTAGCTGACTAGCGGTTTCTGAACCCATTTCTCTAAACTCAAGACCCTCCGTACGTCTAGTGCTGCGACTCCACCTGGGGCGTGGAGTTGCGACGAGGCTTCGCCGGAGGATCGTTCCAGGGCTGCACATTCGCCTTGCCGAAGATCACGTACAGAGTGTTGCCCACCAGGTAGAATCCGGCGGCGATGAAGAACACAACGCGCCACTGCTCGGGATCGTGCTGGAAAGCAGATGAAAAAGTACATATTAGTAAGGAAACTGGATAATACAAGTATTTTAAGACACCTAAAAAAGATATCGGAATTTAAAAATCTAAAAATTTAATTAATTTATTGTCTGGTTGATTTCTCAGAATTTTCAACTAATAAATTGTTCTAATAATTAGCATATTATATCTTAAAGACAATGTATATCTATAAATTCATTTTCTTTGTCTTTTTTAAATATGCTAAACTAGAATTTTTAAAAATTATTTGAAGATTGTATAAAGTATTTGGAATTTAATTATCTCAAGAAAATTAGAAAATAATTAATTCAGTTCTTAAATGATCTCCAAATTGTTTCCTTTAATAATCATATAATATTTCAAACTCACCTCATTTGTGACAATGAATCCCACGATCAGCGGGGCGATGATGCTCATGATGTTGGCCACTCCGTTGGTGATGCCCATGAGGATGCCGGCAAAATTGGGCGACAGATCGATGTGGTTCATGTTGTAGCCGAGGTAGGTGGCTCCGTTCATGCCCACGGTGAAGCAGAGCAGCACCACCGCCAGCTCCGACTGATCGGTGTCGACGTAGCCCAGGCAAATAAGGGTGATCATCGGGATCCACAGGCCAATCGAGTTGAAGAGCTTCCTGCTCGTCACAGTGGTAATGCAGTTGCGGTTGTTCAGCTGCGCCGAGATCGTGGAAAAGACGAAGGACATGACGAACATGCAGACGTAGGGCAGCGAGGAGAGCAGGGCATTCGACTTGATGTCCTTGCCCAGGACGTTCTTCATGTAGCTGGGGATCTCGGTGAGGAGGGTCCAGAAGCCCCAGTTGTGGACGGAGTGGGCCACGATCAGGACGAGGAAGGCGGGCGAGGTGAAGAAGCTCAGCCAGGGCGTCGGCAGCTGCTCCTTGGGCAGCTCCTGGGCACTGCTAACCTCGCTGGCCTGCGACATCTCGATCAGCTTCTTCTCCTCCGCCGAGATGCTCTTGCACTCCGCCGGCGATCCTGCGCCAAAGAAGAAGTACACCACCGACCACACGCAACCGATTCCGCCGGAGATGTAGAAGATGCTGGGCCAGCCAATGGGCGAGGCTGCAATCACTCCGCTGGTGGCCAGCATGATGATCGTTCCGAACTGGTTGCCCGAGTAGGCACACGTTCCCAGGGTGGCCCGCTCCCTGGGCGGCGCCCAGTGGGACAGGATGGTGTGGGTCGAGGGGAAGACCACTCCCTGGCACAGACCCTCGATCACTCGCAGGGCGCAGACCAGCTGCCAGCCTCCGATCCTGGCGCAAAGGGGTGTCAGGACGTTCAGGACCGAGCAGATGGACAGGCCGGTGAGGATCATCACCTTGCCGCCGTATTTGCGGGCCAACGCACCCGCTGGCACCTGGGTGACCACATAGCCCCAGAAGAAGCTGCTCAGCAGCAGGGATTTCGTCTTCTCCGACCAATCGTACTCCTGAAAATTAGGTAATAAAATAAATTTAGTTTTTTTGGAATTTCAAATTAAATAGTGAAATTATTTGCGTTAAAGGAAATACAACTTTATCTAAAAATAAGATTTTTTAGGGTTTATATTTTTTTTTTTTTTTTTTTTTTTTTTTTTTTTTTTTTTTTTTTTTGGGGTGGTTTTTTTTTTTTTTCAATTTTATTTTTTTTTTTTTTTTTAAAAAAAACCTTGGGGGGGGGGGGGGGGGGGGTGGGGGGGGGGCCCCCCCCCCATTTTTTTTTTTTTTTTTTTTTTTTATAAGATTAAATTATAATTATATTGTATTAAGTTTCTTATTTGGAATACCAAATTTGTATTGCATTTAAACAAATTTTTTATTACTATAAAAAAATTGAAATATAAATTACTTAGCAAAGACTTTCTTTTAGATAACCATTTTAATCATTTTTAAAATATTTAGTATATCAAAGGAGTATTTATTTTTACAGCAAATACTTACAGGAAAATTGGGATTCACGGAGGCGGCATCGGTCATCGCCACCACGGCCACGGAGAGGTTCACTCGGAGGGCATAGGCCACCGTGAGGGCGAAGAAGAGCAGGAAGACCTGCAGGTGACGCACGCCCAAGCCGGAATCTAAAAGCAATCAGAACGTAATCGATTAGGTAGGGTTGGGTAATCTGACTCGCGAACTGATCTTCAGGCCAATCAATGGGCAGTCAGCCATCGATTAGCTATGCTTATCAGCTATCAGGCGCACTATCAGAGGTATATATATGTAACTAAAGTGGGGCTGTGTCTGTAGGTCGCCTGTAGGTCGCTGGTGGCCAAGATTCGGAATTTCCTTTTGCGTTTTTTTTTGTTCAGAGGCAAAAGATCCGACAGCGGGCCCCCAGCGAAATAGATTTATGACGGACAACGTACTACCTCTGGCGCTTCTTTCTCCCACTTTAGCCGTAATTTACGCCCAAATTTATCATCCCTTATCAGCCAGACAAGCGGTGGAGACGTAATTACTTGCCTTTCTATTTGCATTTGGGGGGCAGCTTCTGTTTCTGGTTTCTGGATTTCGAGAAAAAATTCCATTCATAGATATGGCGCCGAATTGTCGGCCACACTTCAGCGCAGATGTCTGCGACTCCCAGCACCCCCTTCATTTGACCCCTTCAGCCTTGATTTTAGTTAGATATGAATCTATATCTGTATGTAGGGGCTAATGTTCGGTGTTTGTTTAATCTCGAGTGTTCTGACAGAGATTAAGTGGCTGTGAGTGGGCCATAAAATGCCAGTTACAACGGCTTTACACCAAGGGCTTTAGTGGGCCCGTAAAGTCCTGAATCACACCCCTTTTTACTTTTATATGGATTCACTGAAAACGGGGGCTCGTCTTTTATGGATATTCTCTCTTATCATCGCTGATAAGAGCTTCAAAGCAATTTGGTGACAGCTAATTTTGGTCTTGATCTTGCAAGATCTTGGGAAGAAGCTGTGGTTATTTTGGGAATATCTTGAGGTTCTAAATGGTTTTTGAGATTTTTTTCAAGGTAAAATATTTGTTTGAAAATTATTGCACTTTATTTCAGAGTAACTACAAATCCTATTCATACACTGAGAAAACAAACAAAAAATCATATTTTAAGGGGAGTGACCTAAATGATTACAGTGATTTATATTTTAACTTAATTTTTTTTAAATTTAATTAGCTTATTTTATATCCTCATTTTTTGTTAACATTTTTGTTAACTTTAGTTTTCTAGATTTTTTGGGGGATATATTTATATATTTTGGCCAACTCTTTGGTCCTAAAAACTTAACTTCTTTAAGCACTCATATATTGAACTTTTTTGAGAACTTTCGAAAACGTGTTTTAATTCGTATTTGATAAAATTTTCCCCTAATACCTTCGTTAGTTTTATAAATGGACTCTTAAGCTTTATAGAACACCTTAAGACAGGACCCACCTTCATCCTCAAAACGACGATTCTTCACAGTGGTAACCATAGTTTTAACTGGGTTAATTAGCTCTTCGTTGAAAAGTGTGGGATTTCACAGCCAGGCACTACCGTTCGGCTTGGAGCCTGTTCACTAACTGATGGCTTCTTGGCAGAGCATCCGCAGGTGGTTTACGCAAATAGTCAGATCACCTAACCAGCATCGCCCGGTAGTTGTGGTGGTGCATGGGGTACACGTATCTGTACATAGAGCTACAGCCCGAGGCGTATCTGTATCTGTATCTGGACCTGTGACGTTAACTGTCGCTGTGATTTGTTGGCAGTGTAAAAGCGCGTGGCAGTTGCTCGTTCCCCCCAGTTGCACCGCCACCCCCTGAAGCTTCAACCCATTTTCGACCCCTGGGGGTGGGCTTATCTCCAGCTTTTGATGTAACCAATTCAGGCGTTATGAATGCACTAATTCAAAAACTATGATCACTTGGCCAAGGCGTGCTACTATAGTAGACTCCTATCACTGATCTGAAATTATCTGAAATTTATAGCCCACCGATTTTCAAATCGTTTTCCGTTAGCTTTGAACTTGAAAGCAGCAGGTGGAAATTGGATCGTATTACCAAAGCTTTTCATTCAATCGCAAAGCTCAAGCCCCAAAAAGCTAGCCTAGCCCCCCAAAGCTGCAATGTTATTGTTTACTACCCAGAGCTATAAAGTCTACAAAGAACTAGATCCAAACTTCAAAGCTCTTTTTAACCACAAGTCACGCAATTATAGATGTAATTACCAGCTGGCACCTAATGGTATTACGAATTTGAATTTGAATTGATTTCAGTTTCTCACAATGAATGAATTTCAGTTAGACCTCTGGACACGCTTCTGGGGTAAATCCATGACAGCTTAAGAAGGGGTATTATTGCCGCTATCATGGCTGATAAGGATATGGCCAATTTGGCAGGTGGAAACTCCACGGCGAAGACGTTAAGACCAACGACTTTCAAATGTCCAGGCACTTCAGTTTCACATTGAGCAGATAGCGAGCGCCACTCGATGACATTTTTGATAGGCCGCGATGATAGGTGGGTGTTGGCCAGGGGACACTGGCCGTCAAGTGGCTGATGTATCCGACATGGGTGTCACAACCTGCTCCAGACAAGGCCCAGTCACTTGGCCACCTTGTGCCGCTCAACGGATGGATGGACGGCTGATAAGCCGGCTCTTTGGCCGAGTTTTGTGACCAGTATCAGTATCAGCCGAACGCACAAAAACTAGCAGAGCGGGTTTCTCTAAACGATAAAGCCACCCACAACACACGAATAAAAACGATAACGTTTTTACAAATATCTGGTTTTTAAAGAATGTTATTCTAATAAGTGGATAAAGTGTTTAATGGCTTTTGGCTTGACGTCAAATAAAAATAAAACGTTATAGTATAGAAACAGATTTTATATTTGAATGAATTTAATTTGTATATTTTAAATTAATTAATTATAATTATTTAATATTTTTTATTATATTTTTCCTCTGTAGTTTGTGGCCTATAGCAGCTCCATAACCTTCAGTTCTACCTGTGATTTGTGACCCGACTTGCGGTGTCAGCCTCGTCTCGCTTAGCTTTTTTTTGCGTTATTTATCGGGCGCCATGGCGCCTGCCTTGTTAATTTGAATATTTAGTGAAATTATTTAAATATACAATTACAAATAATCAAAACTTCAATGTTTATTTTGAGCGCACTTGTGTAATTTATGCTCTGACGGAAGAGTTCCCGCATTTTGTCAAGTGCTAATGAATTTGCATGCAGGCCACTTGGCGCCCGGTAATTGCACGCAGCTCTAAATAAAGATTTGCGATTTATTAGTGATATAAACACGAATGCAAATGTGAATATGTATTTAGCAGAGGTTTTATCCCTAAAATATCCAAATATCCGAGTAACCACAAAACCAAATATCCACTTATACAAATCCACTTCCCCCTCGACTTCAACCAAGTGGTTGTTGTTCCGTTTAGTCAAAGCAGGAACATAATAGGAAATATGCGAGATTTATGTTTTCGCCATATACGCGGCCGACTCTAATTGTTCAAAGAATCGTATCTCTCAATCTCAATCTGAATCTGAATCCGTAGCCGATGTTTGCCGTTGTTTAGTCGCAGTATTTTTGCAATAGTTGCTCATTAGCCGCCGGCACTAAACTGGATTCTCCCCAGACAGCCTGTCGAGTATTGGAGCATTCTTTGTGATCCGCTGTTTTTGTTTATCTCATTTTTTATTTCGTATTCCTCATACGCCCGGTTGACTGCCACCCAAACAAAAAAAAGTTAAATGAAATGAATCGGACTGCTGTGTGTGTGCTTACTTTTGCCCTGGGTCGCGATTTGCATACGAACTTTGATGATTTATATTTGTGGGCCCGCTTCCTGTCTGTCTGTATCCGATTTATCCATTCTCCGGACAGGCCCCTTTCCCATCCCCTTCCCCTAATCCCAACTAATTCATATTTAATGGCCAGAGTCAGTTTGGCCCATAATAATTAGCCCGAACTCGATCCAGTGACTAAACCCCCATTTTGGCACCAAGAAAACACTTGTTGCAGTTGGCAAAAAAGTAATAAAATTAAGGAATAACAATAACAAAACGAAAAAGTAACCGTCACTGCCACTTAAGATTTAATCACATTTACTGAAATTAGCAACCTGCCCGCACTTGAACATTAATTGTTCAACCTAATCAAACAGCACTTCAGGTTTGGAAAACTTTCGGCTAACGATGTTTTATGTTCGATCTTTTGCGCACAAATGACAGTAATGAAAAGCTGTTCGCGTTATCACGTGAAATTGATTAACCATTATTCGATTTTTTTCAAGCAGGAAAAGTAGAATTCTAATAAAATTCTGTAGGCAAAACACATTTTTTGATTTAGTGGTCAGTGAACTTTTATGGGCTGTTAAATAATATTGCTCATAACTTTTGAATAGTTATGGCTTCCAGAAAGGGCAATGCGTTTGGAATAGCGTAATAACGATGATCGCTTCCCAACACCTCCAATGTCGTAACCCAGTTTTTAAACGGTTTTTTCGATATCCGCTAAATTTACGATCCCCTCGAGTGGCGACAATTCCTATCAATTACTTAAGGCCCGACTTATTGGGGTTATCTAACCGTAGCTCGTAGCTAGTGTTATCGAACCGCTCCACTTACGTTTGCCCACGGCCTCATCCTCTTTGGTGGAATTCTTCGCGTCCACGCTCATGGATCCGTTTGAGCCACCGCAGCACATCAGCTTCATGTTGACTGAGTTTTAACTATATGGTATACTTTTAAATAAATATTTACTAAACAAACTCTCGGCGCTGAGAGCGTTGGCAGTGGGAGGTTGTAGGTTGTATGTATTGTTCTAGCACTTTTACGGCTGGGCCGTTCTTAATGAGGCGTGGTAATTAAATGTTGGCCAGCGATCGAGGCAAATGTCACCATATTCACAACTGTTGCAATTGCTTTCGTTACTGCCCGATTTTGGTTTGAATCGAAAGTTAATGGGTAGTACTTAAGTACCGCTCTCGCCGCCGCTGCGTTTTCAGACCGACTGAACGCTGAGTCGGCGCGGGGACTCCATTTATACTGCTGCCCGATCGATCGCCACTCAAACACGCTCGGCGCTCGCTCAGCAATACGTCACCGGAGATTCGATGAAGCTAGGTAGCCACTCCAGTGCGATTCCGGCGGACGGAGACGGAGACGGAGAAGGAGAAATTCCCCACTTGCCACTTGCCCGGTTCGTGGACAGCCATCCGTGGGGTGGTGGGCGCTCTGCCCACGGAGATATCCGCCGAATCGAATCTTATCGAAGTCATCTTTAGATTACCCGACTTGTCAGGGACGCCCGACGTCGTAGTACTACAACATACATGGGTAGTCAAGTGGGCGGACCTCGCACCCAATCAAAGGAACCTCTTGTGATGATCTTGACATAATGATATATTCTTCGGTATCAATCCCGAGGGCGATGCGAACGGCTTGCACCCCGAAAGCACCGAAATGGGCCAGTGGAAAATTTACGAAGCGCTGGGGGTCTTCACCTCGGCGAATGAATGAAACTTTTTGGTAAACAGAGATTGAATTATTGGCCGACCAGGGAAACCCCGATACCCGAGCCGAAACAGAAACAGAAACTGACAAAATAAAATAAAAGAGCGCCGAGTGGCGTAGCTCTAAAACTGGTTAAGCGATCACTTGGCGTACTCGTGGATGCCACGGAACTTCAAGCTTAACGATCTATCTAACTATCTAGAGGGGTCTTTGGGAATTCCTGGCAGTGAGTGGAGTGCCGAGTGCTCTTGACATTAGGGCACTTTCACTTTCACCCGCCGTCTAAGGTTGCCCATTTAGAAATGTTCTCAGAAATGTGCAGTAGTGTTGGTTAAAATTCTTAGTTATGCATAGTTCATGCCTGGCTGCCCCAATGGAATTCGTTTCGGATCTCTCCCTCTCTCAAGCGATCTGCGATTGTGATTTCACATTGTTTTGTTTTTAGACAATAACTGGAATTTCTTGCAACTATGTACCGCGCCACGTAGATAGAGATATCTCATTGCCTCGAGACTCTCGCGTCTCTGGCTTTGGCTTAAATCGCACCTTGCCAAATTTACGGCCCCGCAAATGAAAGTTCGATCTAATGGTGCGTCAGCAGGGCAAACAAGTGCTTTAGATAGCTCCGCGACAGTTGAGGCGAAGTATCTGCCAGATACTTGGACACACGCCCGTCTCATGTCTCTCATGTCGCCGGTGGAAATGAAAACAAACTGATTATCTCGCCAGACGCTAAACAGCGGAATCGGGCATCGAACAAAATAGCCGAACGCGTGCTCCACAAGGGGTGTGCTAAACGATCTTAAATCCGCTCAAATATCGATGCCCAATTCGGTACCAGGCGGGGGGATGGATCTCCACCTAATACACCTGTCATGATGCCGCTATTTGATTTTCGAGCTCCTCAAACGAGTTGCGAGTCAATGAGAGCGAAAATAACTCGGGATCTCAAAGATGGCCGAGTCACGAATCAATTTTTTGGCCGATAAGTCAGTTTCAATACCCTCCATGGAGGTTTTAAAATAATCAAAAGGTGCGTTGTGATTTGAAACCACTTGTTAAAGTGCTTAAAAGTAGGTTCACAATCATAAGTTCTATGGACAGAGATTTGTGTCGAAATATAATAGTTCAAGTAGTGACTTTAAATCAAGTGAGATTCGATTATGATAATTGTGTAGCTACGTTAAAGTATATACAATAAAATACTTAAAGCTCTCCAATCTCTAAAAAAGAGGTACGCGAATTGTTTAGGGCACTCGTAATTTTAAAAGACCTCACAAGGTCAAGTAATTTCGAACAAAATTTAATAAATCACGTATTTTTTACTCCAATAAAATGTTATAAAAGTGTTTAAACTTTTATAAACCTATTTGATAATTTTCTGATTTCATCAAAATAGTTTTCTAACAAACGTAATACTGTGATCTAACTGACCTATTAAACCTTTTATCTCCCCAATTTAGTTTTTGCCAGACTGCCTTATAAATTATTAAAACCTTCAGCGGTACCGAATTAATTGTGTTGCGATAGCCGAATGTGGTTTGAGATTCCCCCTATCTCGTGCTAGGCACAAAAGGTTCCCCACAAAACCCAAGAGATACCTGTTAATAGATCCATCAGTGACTAAAATAACTCGCTGTCGGATGCAAATCGATTATTGGTTTATATAAATTAGAAAGGTCCGCCGCAGAGCAGCTCTTCCGCTGGCGAATGATGCGGCATTTTCCGATCTCCCATTTTCCGACCACCCCCAATCCGAATATCCACCCCCAAACAAGTGATCACGCTATGCTCCACTGGCAGAACCGTATGATGTCTGTGCTTTTGTTTCACTTTTTCGCTTTTCACGTGTCAGGTGGCAAAAGGGGCGGAGAATTGGCTCAAAATAATTGCCAGTCAATGCAATTACACATCCTCCGTTGGATTTTATCGCTCGGGTGTTCGGCCAATTACATTCCGTTACACATTTTTTCCAGCCCAGCGAAATGATCAGTTGTTAATGCATTTCAGATTCGAGCTATATTATATAGAGACTTTCAGCATAAGTTCCCCCCGATCTGCGATGAGTGACTCTCAAGTTCTTAATATGCAAAACGTGCTGTTTTGTTTGAACTTGGCCACAGACAAGTCGGCGTTTCGACTTTAGTTCCTCAATACTAAACTATAGCTTTAGTACTATATATGTTTACACCCCCTCGCCGTGTCACATGGAAATTCAAGTTCAAGTGTGCGTCGCTCAATGGAAATCGAACGAACTCCCGCTAAATTGGCAAGCTTCGTTGGCCCCGCCAATAACTAAGCTAAGTACGACCGATCCGATGTTGGCCATAGTCGAGTACTCGCATTTGGCTTTTTCAGCGGCCCGTTGCGCATGTTAATAGCCCCCCGATAGCCGATTTTGGTCCGCGATTAACGCGCTCGGATGACATTGATTGGGTACTTCCACCCACTTCCACATTTGCACCATCCCCCCTCTAGAACGTGGGTATTCCCGATAGTGAGTCTTTGCGGTCTTTAAACCGAACTCATCACATATTTAATGCACCGCAAAAAATTATAATTATCAACTTTATAGAAATTCTTTATCCTTAATTTGTAATATGAATAAAAATATCCCTTCTTATATAATGTTTCCTGAGAAATGAAGCATAAACTATGATAATGATAAACCCTCATTTTTAATTATATTAATTATTCACCACTTGTTTTCTGGATGATACAGAAATTAAATCTCGCAAAGTACTTGAATGAAGTGTTCCACTTTACATATCTAAAAAAATGATGATGATGATGATCGATTCATGAATAATAAACCAATTAAAAACAAAACAAATAGTTCTTTTTAGAAATTCAGATGCTGAAAATCCGAATAATATGGCTATCAAATTTTACATTATTTTCTGTGTGGTTAAGCTTAATATGTAGATTTCCTTGGGGATTTCTGGGAGTGCAAGCACGAACGTCACTCTCATATATTCTGTATGCCTTTTGCATTGCGAATGCGAAATTAAGCCCATCGTTGTTAAGCCTACGTTGTCTTAGGCCCGTGGTTAAATCGATGTCGACGTCAGAACCAAGTTCATCAGCCATTATGGCGCACTTGTTAACATCTTAACGTGATTTGATCAAATAAGAGGTGGCAGGTGCGTCAGCTGGCAATCCTAATTTCGGCTTTTAGCGCAGCTAATTCGAGGAAATTTCCGCGCCACTTGACAGCCGCAAAACAGAGTCTTTCACATCCCTTATCTAATCGATGCTGGCCGAAATTAATTACAAATCCATCAGTTGCCAATTTGCGACAAGCGCCATAAAGCAATAGAGCCTAATCGGCCACTTCCGTATCATCATATCAGAAGGGGCTAAGCAATAAATACTGGGCAGTAAACACTGCGTAGAGGGTAAGTCCTGAAATCAGATTGTCGAAACACGGCCGCGTGAGGGGCCCCCGACTGTTTCGATAAGGGGCATAAATAATTTCTCCGGCCGATTCAAATTCCTTTCCGCTCCAGCACACTGGAGCTATGCGCTCGAAATTGTAATTGTCACAATTTTACAAAAAACTCACAAGTGAGTTTAAGTGCTGCTAGCAACAAAAAACCCCAGACGGCTCTCATCATATGCTTTTGTTGATCTATTTTTAGCTCTTGCCTACGTTTCAAAGTAATTAGTGGTAAGTTATCAGGAATTAATTTGTACATTGGATTTTAATTCACACTTGTTTCGTTTTCAAATTTGAATTGTTGTGTTCAAATTATATATACATTTTTGCCTCGACTAACAGATACCCATTACTCTGTTAACAGATTTTAGATAGTGGAGTCTCAATTTTGCTATTTGTGGGCGTTAAAGGGGGCCTGGCATTCGCGAAACTCTACTAGTAACAGGTATAACAAGTTAACATAACTATATTTTTAACTAAATTTAAGCTGGCATATGTGTCGTATGAGTAATTTTAAAGGAAACTGTCTAACCAATGTAAACTCTTAACAGTAGCACTTAGCAAATACACCATCCTGACAGCCGATACACACTCCTGACTTCTGAAGCGCTTATGTCTATATTTAGTATATTTGAAAATAGAATATGGTATTAAAAGTGCCCAACGGTCACACTAAACAGAACGTGCTGAAGGTTTCCCAATTTTGTACGAGTAAAAATCATACGTTTATTATTAAATTCTAGAGAGTGTGCCCTGCCTTTGACGATTGTCTAATATTTTTAAAATTCCTCGCTGCAGAGAAGGACACAAACAAGATGGCACAGAGCAAATTGAACGATCTTGCGGGCAAGCTGGGCAAAGGTGGCCCGCCGGGACTGGGAATCGGACTGAAGGTCCTGGCCGCCGTGGGAGCGGCTGCCTATGGCGTCAGCCAGTCCCTGTACACCGGTAAGGATATGGCCGATCGCATATAGCCACCGATTTGCCGGGTAAACAGCATAAACATGGTGGCAGTAGCGGCATGTTGACATAACCTCAAAGTGCTCCATACAGCCATGGGTGTATGTGTGTGTTTCTGCTGTTTCCCGGATTTCATAACTTGCAATTGGATTTCCAATGTTCTTATTGGAGTCTAATTAGGTGACAATGAGATAAAGGGATAGTTTAACTTATAAATTCCCTTAGGTTTTACTTATTGTTATTATCCAATCCCCCTTTTCATCTTCCCATGATTGCATAACAAACTCCATTTATTTTTGGTAAATGTTGACATATCAGACAAAGTACAAAGTATAAAATGTTTATTTAATATTATTATTATTATTTTTATTCTTTATAAATATTTTTATTAATATTGCCAGTTAAAAAAAACTTTTTGTAAGCCAATTGTATAATCATGAATAATATTCCGGTTATCTATCTAAAATGTTTTGATAGTACTCATTAAAATTATCTATAATTCTATCGCACTTTACAGTTGAGGGTGGTCACCGCGCCATCATCTTCAGCCGTCTTGGCGGCATCCAGAACGACATTTACTCCGAGGGTCTGCACGTGCGCATCCCCTGGTTCCAGTACCCCATCATCTATGACATTCGCTCGCGTCCCCGCAAAATATCCTCGCCCACCGGCTCCAAGGATCTGCAGATGATCAACATCTCGCTGCGTGTGCTCTCGCGTCCCGATTCCATTAACCTTCCCTACCTGCACAAGCAGCTGGGCGTGGACTACGACGAGAAGGTGCTGCCCTCCATCTGCAACGAGGTGCTGAAGAGTGTGATTGCCAAGTTCAATGCCTCGCAGCTGATTACCCAGCGCCAGCAGGTGAATATCTATTAAATAGCCATCTTAAATTGGGTTTTAAAATGTCGATTCTTTGTCAATAGGTCTCCCTGCTGATCCGCAAGGAGCTGGTCGAGCGCGCCCGCGACTTCAATATCATCCTGGACGATGTGTCCCTCACCGAGCTGAGCTTTGGCAAGGAATACACGGCCGCCATTGAGGCCAAGCAGGTGGCCCAGCAGGAGGCACAGCGGGCCGTTTTCTTCGTGGAGCGCGCCAAGCAGGAGAAGCAACAGAAGATTGTCCAGGCGGAGGGAGAAGCCGAGGCTGCTAAAATGATATCCTTTTACAAAACTCTATTTATAAACTTTTTAAAACCCTTACATATTCAACTGATATGTCTTAAGTATCTTGTGAGCTAGGTCTTCCAAGCTTAACAGATACTTTTGGCTTCACAGTCATGCGTAAATAGGGCCCTAGACTTACCCACTATTGCCACCAAATGGTTCTCCTTAACTGATATGTTCACTTAGGTCTGGCCGTGAAGCAGAACCCAGCCTACCTCAAGCTGCGCAAGCTGCGTGCCGCCCAAAGCATTGCCCGCACGGTAGGAATCGCTTAATCCAAGTTATAATTCAAAGATAATGAAAAACTCTTTTCTGCCCCACAGATTGCCACCTCACAGAACAAGGTCTACCTGTCGGCGGATAGCCTGATGCTCAACATCCAGGACTCTGACTTCGATGACATGACCGAGAAGGTTTACAAAAGTAAATAGCTCTCGTTTTGAATAACCGAAAGAGTTTACTTTTAAGTTAAAAACACTTGTGCTTTTGGTTCACAATCACATTGGCCAAAACTTAGACATAGCCTTTATAATTGAGTAACTTCTAACGCGTTCTCCGTACCCCATCTCTCTCTCCTTTTTGCTACCAAATTTCGTTCTGTTAACGTTTCTCCCAATCGCACAACCCAGTAGCCGGCGACTTGGACTAGGAGGCGATCCACATTCGTTGTTAATTAATTCGTATTGCAATTCCTTCGAGCTAGAGCCTAAGTACCGTTTAGTTGTAACCACCCCCAAGCGGCGCATCGGCTTCATTTTTTCACGAACTGTCTGCCAAGTGCGAAGACCTTGCCACCCGGCGGCAGCTTCATCCCACATCCGTTCGGCGGGTGCCGAGGATCGGAGCACGGCACGGCTCTTCAGTGGACCAATGAGGCCAGTGCGGGCGGATGGCCTCACCAGCATTTAACTTTCCTTGTCCCATCATCGAGAGTCACGTAAAACGGAAACTGAAAATAAATGCGTACTGAGAACTGTCTGACGATCGTTGTGTCCCTGTGTAAATTAGCTCTGTACTTTTAGCTCGCACCTGCCGGGCCGGAAACATTCGTGAAAAAACGAAGCGGCGCCCCGAGCAGCGATCCCTCCACTAATCCCAATCCCCCAATCTTTGCAGTTGGCACCGGTCTGCCCAAGGAGTGGTTGGATGCCCGGAAAATGGCCTCGAAGGTTGCCCAGCCGGCGGAGAAGGAGAAGAACGTGGGCAAGGTGGCGAGCAGCATGGCCGAGCGGATGATGTGATCCACTGATCATAAGAGGGGGCTTCCTGTCAAGATCCTAGTACAAAACAGAACGTCGACTACGAAACACTGACTTATCGTTTTAATTGCGTGTATAAAATACATAAGAATAGTACATAAGAGTGTATACAGTATATAATTTAAGTGTATAGAGGTTTATGTATGTAAATTGTAGGCAGATTAGGTTGCTTCTTCAGGAGTTGTGTCCTCCGCCCCCGGCGGCATTCCCATTTGTTGTGTGTGTGTGTGAAAGATCTTGACTAGAAACATGTAGGTGTGTGTGTGTTATGGGACTGCATCCTTGGTTGAGCAATCGAACGGCCTCCTCCCAATCGTATAAATATTCCTAAATCTATTCATAACGAACTCGAACAATCAAATTCCTGCATTAGGCGCGTGGGGTTAGCTTTGTATGAATGTGTTAATTTGTAAGGTCGCTTAGAAGCGACGCGACATGGACCAGGATCAGGCCGTCGCCGGAGGCTTTTCTCCACTGGTTCCGCTGCTGCTGCCGCTGCCGCTCTCACTGCCGCTGCTGCTGGCGTTGCTGTTGGCCCTGCGGCTCTCGGCCAGCCCAGAAGTGTCCCGCCGATGGCGACGCAGCGTGGCACTGGCCGACGGAGCGGAACTACTCAGCGCGATGTTGGCCGTGAAGGCAGCCGCCTCCGCTCGACTGGGAACGGTCAGGGTTCCTCCCGGTCCAGTGGATGGAGGTACGGCTCCACTGCTACTGCCGCTCACTGTGGCTGCGGCGAAGGACTCCGTGATGCTGGCCAAGGGTCATAAGTTCGTCGTCTGCACCAGTCCGCGCTCCAGATGGAAACAGTCCAGGACAGCGGCGCCCACGGAGCTGCGACGGGCCACCATGGCGTTGACCACGCTCCACTTGTTCAACCGCGGATCGTAGCGCTCCACGGAGTTCAGCGAGGAGCTGCCATCGTTGCCGCCCAGGGCGAACAGGGCGCCCTCCACCTCGACCACTTCATGGGTGGATCTGCAAGTAAGGCCAGGGAAATAATTAAGCAAGGTTATTTGTACATTAGGGCGGTCCAAAAAAATGAAATTCTATTATCTCCCCTTCACATGGTATATCAAAGAAAGCAAAAAAATATATTTTCAAAATAAATAGACCCTGCGAAACGTCCTCAAAGTTTTCATAATAATTACTCATACGACACGTATAACTGTTCGAATTTGGTCGAAAAAAATCATTCTCCCATTTCTTATCTTGTGAAATTATGAATTTTGTTGGAATAATTTGTAAAAAATGGGAAGCAAAGGATCAACTGAATTGTTGAAATTTATGCCACCTTGATTAGAAAAACTTTTTAAACGAAGGCAACAGTGCGTATGGGTGATAAACTTTGAAGCCAATTCGCAGACCCTAAAACAGGATTTTTTCAAAAATGTTCTTTTGGTATACCTTGAATACCACAAGGCGCACCGTATAGGTAGTGTACATACCTTCGCGAGTGCATGGCTGCAATGGGTTCCCAGCTGTTCCGGCGCAGATTGAACCGCTCTCCGCTGGACATGCACATGGTGCCATCATTGCCGCCGATGCAGTACAGATGTCCATCCGTGGAGGCCACTCCACAGCTGCTCCGGCGGGCCGTCATGCTGGGCACCGGCTGCCAGCGACCCATCCTCGGATCGAACCGCTCCACACTCGACTGGTAGTTGGTGGAATCGAAGCCGCCCAGGCTGTAGATGCAGTTCTCCAGCACGGCCAGCCGGCAATACCTTCGCCTCGTGCTCATCGCCGGACAGGAGCTCCAAATCCCAGTAAGCGGATCGTAGCGCTCCATGCTGCTCAGGCAGGAGGCGCCATCGTAGCCACCGCAAACGTAGATCAAGGCGTCGTAGGAGCAGATGCCCAGGCAGCTGCGCTTCGTGCCCATGGGGGTGATGTTGCTCCACTTGTTGGTCAGCGGATTGTAGCTCTCCGCCGTGGCCAGATCGCTGACGCCGTCGTAGCCCCCAACCACATAGAGTTGCTTGTGCAGGGACGTTACTCCCGAACGGGATCGTCGCCACAACATGGGCGCCACTGGACTCCAGGAGTTGGAGCGCGGATTGTACACCTCGCACTCGTTGTGGATGGCGAACAGGCTGCCTCCGCCGACCGCGAAAACATAGGGCTTCATTCCCTCCGGTCGACGCTCCTGGGTCCTCTGACTGCCCATTATGCTGCGCTGCTCGGGCAGCAGGTGGTACTTCATGGCCTCCAGCAGCAGCTCCTTGCACTCGGAGTCGTCGCGCATGAGCGTCTCCGTTTCCACGCAGCTCATGAGGAAGTCCCGGCTGACCAGTGGCAGCCGGACATTGGACATCAGCTCGGCAATGTGCAGTCTCCGGGTGGCCAGATCGTGCTTCACCCAGTTAATAACGGCGGCGAAGACGCGCTCCTCGGAACTAATGTTCAGCTGGCTGTTGGAGATCAGCTCGCGAACCTCCTCGAAGGGCAGCAGCAGGAACTCCTCGGTGCCCACCACCTGCTGGAAGTTCTGCAGGGCGTACTTGTGGGATCGCGTGTGCAGCTCCTTGCAGGAGTGGGCGTCCGCGAAGCTGCGGATGCCCAGGCAGTTGGAGGGATGCAGCTGGCGCAGCAGGAACTTGCAGCACGCATCCCGCACGGAGTGCATCTGGAGCAGCCCGGAGGCGGGCAGCAGCACCTGGACGTTCTGCTCGGTGATCGTGATCTCGCCGGTGTAGGTGTAATCGATCAGCTGCCGCAGCGCCGAGCTGTCCACGTCGTGCAGGCGCACCAATCCCTGAGTGCGCTCCAGCATGTCGTCTGGTATATTAGAGGGGTAAGTATCATATCAGTTTACTATATCATAAATAAGCTTAGGAATGCCATAAAGTTCTGAGCCTATCTAAATATATGATCATTGAGTAAAGTACATAGAAAGATTATCTCACTATTTCTATTTGTTTAATTAATTAATTTATAAACATTGCAATATTATAAAAATAAAATGAAAGATCGAAAATTAGTCAACTATATAATTAATTAATAACTATATCATAAATGTAATAGATTTTAAGCTTAGGAATGCTATAAAGCTCTGAACCTATCGAAATATATAATCATTGATCAAAGTACATAGAGAGATTTTCCTTATTATTTATATTTGTTTAATTAATTAATTTATAAACATTGCAATATTATAAAAATAAAATATAAAAACATATGGGCACTTCCAAAATGTCGCTCGGGACATTTGCACACCTTTAAAGTTGAAAAAAAAATTGTAAAACAATGGATTTTAATTTTAATTATGGGCTTTTCTTTTCACTCTTCCCAAGCTCTATTTTTGGTAAAAATCTTGATTTTGTACCACTTTTAGTTTTTAAGATATCGGTAAAAAACTGCCGTATTCGCTCGGGACAAAAATAGAAGTGGATTTCGGGGAAGTTCATACAACACCAGAAATTATCGAATTGTGATGGAATATTTGAATGCGATTTTTTTTAGAATGTTGTTCAAACATGTCGCTGTGAAATGCTTTTGGTTTCACTCAAAAATTCGTTGCCGTTTTTTTTATGCAGTTTCAACCACATTCGCTCGGGACATGTCGCTCGGGACATTTTTTCCGACTGTTTTGTAAAGCGGATTTCTTTACCTCTGTCTCTCAATTGCTGGATGTTTTGCTTTTAACTTAATAGTTAAGCATGTGAATGAAGCATTCAGTACAGAAACATGTAACATATTAGCATTCCTATAGGATAAATTAACAACAGAAACAGGTCCAAAAAATAACAAAAAAATAGCCAAAAACTGATTTTTGCGTATATCGGTGGAGTTTGTCATAAAAATAATCAAACTATACTCCAAATTTGTAGTTAAGCTCAGTATCCAACTAATTAGAAACTAATATCGGGGCAAAATCATGTGGAAATATGTTTTATTCAAGTTTCAAGGTTTTTGGCTTGGTGGACTTTTTTTTCGAAGTGCCCATATCTATAACCATTTCAAAAAGTGTAAATTAGACTACGTTTTAGTTATTTTAGAGTAATTTATTTATTTATATATGTATTTGTTATTTGTCTTTCTTTGACTTAAGCATGAACAACAAAATAGTTCAATATCTATCTCTAAGACCCTACAATACCGGAAAAGGATTGCTTTTCTGCCTTTCAAGTGTACTCACCGTTGAACATCGCATAGAAATAGGGCGATACGGATGCCAGGACCACTCGATGGGCGTTGATGGTGTCGCCGCCCACCTCCAAGCGAACATCGCAGAGCTGAAAACGGGCAGGAGAAATTTGAGTAGAGAAGGGCAGGCTGTTGAGACATGGAGCTCCTGACGGGGCAGACAAAGTGTCGCTTTACAAATCCGATTAATACCCGGCTACGTGCTCAATTTGCACTCCAAATCCCGAACTCCTTCCCCACAATCATGAATCCTTAGAAGGGCCCTCCATCAATAACTTTCGACAGGGTGACCGCAGTCAATGACCCCCGATGCCGGAGGCACTTTTAAATAGCAAAGTGTCGCTTACATCATGGCTCGCTTCTGGTTAAGGCCAACTCATCCATTCCACCCGCTGGGCGGCTAAATCGGCAATTTGCTCTAATAGCCTCACCCAGCTGAACTCTGAGAGGGAGGGCGGTATCGGTCTCGAACTCAGGCGCAATTAATGTTTTGCCGCCTGCCCAAATAAAAGAGAAACGAACGAAAGACATTATGTATGCGCCATGTGGGCAAGCGTAAACTCGGACTTGCGACGACCTCAATCACGCGCCCATTCTAAATAAATATTTTAATTATGTTCACGCCTAATGCAATTAGTACGGCAATATCAAGAAGTGTCAATTGACGGAATATTCGCTACAAGATGATATGATCTACAATATGGGTTTGCTGAATTTAGCGAAAGCAATTGATCTGACCCTGACCATAACTTGTTTAAAACTAGACAGATTAATGCCGAATCTTTTTCTAAATCTTGTTTTAGATATTTCGAACTAAGTCTTAGGCTCACCTGCGCATTGTTCCTCATCTGGTTAATGGCTGCGAAGGAGGCGATGCAGTGGCCTGGATTCTGGTGATGCGCCTGGGGAAGGACCTCTTCATTGGGTCCCGGTGGGCTCAGATCGCTGGGCGTTTGTGTGGAATTGTTGCTGGTGGTGGTGACATCCTCGTTGTTCCCGCTGGCCTCGCCGGAACTGCAACGAGAATTTGATGAGCTCGTGAAAATCCTCGCCTCCATAAAATCAAGTCTGGTAAACATAATGATAATGCCGGCGACAACGTGTCGGCAAAAACAGAAACAGGAACACTCCTCCCTCTGCTGTAAAGCCGGGGGTTGTTTATGCTCGATGTTCCTGTTTATGTTATGTTATGTCGTGGGGCTCTCATTTTTGGGGGTTGAATGGAGCATCAAGTCGCCACTCGAATTTCAAGGGGCTTTGGTGAACAGTAAATATTATACATATCTTTTTCTAATCATATTTTTAAGGGAATTAATATTTCCTTCCAAAAATGAAAACAATTTTTAAAAAAATGACTGAAGACAAGTTTTTTCTACCTCACTGAAAAAAGTATTTCTTATTCAATTTATTTTTCCAGTGCACTTACTGATTTGATTTCACTGGCAGAAACATTGCGACTTCGTCTGGCCGATGTTTATGTTAATGATGTGGGGTTAGTGCGGGTCTTCCCTTATCGCAATGCTGCAGCTGCTGCTCCTAAAACATTTCCTCGTCTTGGTCCTCGGTTGATGTCTTCAGTTCAGTTCAGTCTTTTCATTGGCAGTTCAGCTCGCAACTTCAGCTAAAACGGAGGGAGCAAAAATCAATACCTGGGACAATTGTTGTGGCCACCCGCATGGAATAGAATAGCTCAGAATTTAGGTCACACGGATAGAGGGATGGTTGGCTTGACATGATATCATTCGGGCTTTTTGGCATGTCAAAGTGAAGGAAGCATCTGAATGAAACTAAAAACTGGGTTAAGTGCCTCCTCCACCGCCTTATCCATTGTTCATAGCGGCAGCCAAGCATTGTTGATGTCAGGATGTGGAGTGGATATGGGTGGGAGCATTTGAAGGACCAAGGAAATGGGGCAGGATGTTGCCTCGCCAAATTGCTTGTCGCATGCAACTTGCGCATTTTGCCAGCAATTTTACTGTTTTCCAGCAAAAAAAAGCAAAGAGATTTATGTACACAAGGAAACATAATATTGAAGTTGAATATACTTATAAGAAAAGCATTCACGTCTGTCAGTTATAAATATTAATATGATAATCTGAAAATGTTAATTTCGAAATGTTTTTATCTTTTTTTAGACGTCAGATACTTTAGGCGTTCAATGACCTTGATAAATTTAAAAATGTAGGTATAAATAAAAAAGATTAACGTTGAATTTAGTAGATCATTTTCTTTCTTGGAGTTTCGTTATATTTTCTTATTTGGCATTAATATGATGATAAGGTTTTATTATTTAAGGTTTATATTACAATAGGGGTATTTTTTGTAACCACCACCTATTTTTTCACAGTGAAGGGAGCTTTCATATCACACTGGGAAAGTTCTCTTTGGGGTCAACAAAACGTGTCTCTGGCACATGTTTGTGAATTTAACGTCACGAATTTATCGCTGCATTAACAAAACAAGCCAACGAAAAAGCAGTAGCAACATTACCAGCAGCCGCCGCTTAAAACATACAAAATTTCACTTTGCACACAAAACGAATTAACGACAATTTCAGTTTGTGTTTTTTAGTTTTAACTGAGCAACAGCCAGCGAGGCGGCCTGCCATGCTTGAGGGCGCAATTGTGCTGGAGGGCAATGTCCGCCGGCTGCTCGGCACCCCCCTAAAAACGCCGACTAAAACCCCCCTTACCCTCCCTGGAAAAGAAGCCCCATTAGGCTAAATGTTTACTGCCCTGCCAAATCAAAAGCAGGCCAGTTTCCATCGTGGGACAGCCCTCAATTCGTGGTGCATTCTGCAGCCAGTCGCCCCTTTTCGGTCCTCACTTTTGGGCGGGGTCAGCACTCTTCGTCACACTCGGCGTATGAGTAATTAAAGGCACCCAGCCAGGGTCAGAATGCGGTGCGGTTGTCTCAGTAACAAAGCTAACACGACTAACGGTTGCTTGTGGCCAACAAAAAACAATGAAATTATGCTAAATGTGAACTTTATTCACCAGTTAGTTGAGCTCATTTATGCACAGAGGCAAAGAGTTGAAAATAGCAATCTGTATCGCCAAGTACAATAGAAATATTGTACAGATGATAAACCAGAAATTAATATTTTCAATAGTAAGAAGATAGAATACTTTAAAGAAGAAAAATAAAGAGAAAAATCGCAGATATTACAATTTTTTATATCTTTTGAAAGATGAGATATCAACTTCTTTCGAATAATTAAAATTAAATTATTTATATTTAATTCCGTTTTGTTTAATAGTTTTGCTCAGTTGATAAAATTTAATTTTAAATACAATTGGTATAATTAATTTATTAATTATACTTTTTTCCTTCTGTGTACTTAAAGGGGCAATCATGTCTAACACACACGCAACGCCAAACAAAAAGGGGATGGGGGAGGAGGAGGCGAAGGTTCAGGAACCGGAAGTGGGAAAGGTGGAGCAGGAAGCGGGTTTTAGCAAAGGTGTAACTCTCGCTGACCTTCAGGTGTGCGATGAGTTGGGGTTCGCTGAGTCAACAAGCAAGGGTGGCTCTTAATATATAAAACAAACTTTACTAAAAATATGATTATCAAAGAGGAGACTTGGAGAGGGAGCGGGAAGCTGGTCCCTAGCAACATCTGGTGGTCGCAGCGAGAGTTTCGAGTGTGAAATTCAAATTAACAAGCCAGCATGCTCCGCACGTAGAGCCCGAAATGTGGGTAAACCGACGGCCAGAGCCGCACTCATTCAGTAATATTTAATGCTTTTGGCGACAGAGCAGAACAGCGGAGCGAAAATAAAAACAAATATAAGAACCCAAAACACACGGAGCTACAGAGAATATTGTGCAAACATTGAACCGGTTGTAGTCTACTCGCCCAATTGTTGTTGGCCCCCCATACGTACAAATGTACCTATGCTCCACCTCCACGTGAGTTGGACAGCAAAAATCACAATGCAAAATCCGAAGGCCTTAAGCATGCTTCTTGCACGCCTCATTGATGATTAACCCGCTATTGTTGCTGCTGGTGCAATGCAATATTCTGCGACCCCCAAGGTTAACTGCTTCGGCAATCGAGCGGAAATCGAGCGTCAGACTCAGCGTTAGTTACAGCTAAAAATCAGTGAATAAGATGCAAATTATAGGAGCTAACTTAACGGGGTGAACGGTGGTATTTCCAAATGATTGCCCGTCTGATGAAGCCGAACTTTGAAATGGGTACTTTTCAGTCAGCTTCTCTGTAGGTCAGATATTCCGAAAAATATTTCCCAGAAATTCGATTGTCACTGAAATCTTAAGCGATTTAAATACAATGTTAAGGGTGGCGAACAAATCAAGCTGATGGTTTCCATAAGCTATTGTTTTTTGTCTTAACTGCTGGCTAAATTCGTCATTCACCAAATGCTTATTTTTAAATTTTAAATTTATAACAATTTATAACAATTGTAGATATTATATAATAAGTCATTGTTTTATTAAGACTTTTGAAAGAACAGAATGAGATAGTATCTCTAATATTTTTTTCTTTGTATATACCCTTAATAACTTCATATAACAATCTGTAGAGAACTCAAAATTCGTCATCCCCAAAAGAGTTCCCAAAATGTTTAGCACATTTTTTCGGTTTTAGCGAAAAGAACAAGAGACTCTTGAAGACGCCCGCGCCCAAATTGAAAATCAAGTGCCAGTGCGTGCTTGGTAAAAAGATTCCCACCTCCGAATATGGCTGAGGGTTACAACTGGATGTGGGCCAAGTAAACAGACAGCAAAGCAATGGGCAGTCATCATTAAGTATACGCGGCGTAAGCCGACAGATTGGTCTATTTGGTAATCCAGATGTTACACATAAGGGGGACGGGAAAACGGAACTAGAAAATGGCATAAGGGCTGGGAAATGCGACGCACTGAAGGAAAGTGATTGTGGCAGCCGGCATTTCTGATTTTCGGTCTGGGTTTGGGGTTTGGGCCGGGTCGACAACCTGCTGGCAGCGCGGGAAATACGAAAAACAGCCGTTTTTCCCCATGGCGCCGGCGCACTGGCTGGTGAAAAACTCCATGGGGTGGCCAAAAAGGAGTTAACAGGATGCAACGGCATGTGCACACCCTCCACTTCCTCCCAACCAATAAAAACGAAAAAATAAAAAGTCGCCGCACCTTATCCCAAAAATGATTTGGGTCTTTCCTTGTTTGCTCCTTTTCCCTCAGGAGTCTTTATTCCTAATTGCACTTGAATTCTTTGGTGGCTCTTTGGCGAGTCCTTTTCCAGGTGGAGTTCACTTTTCACTACGAATTTCAACTGCTGTGAAGCCAATTATTTGGTCGCAACGGCAACAATAACTGTGCTGTGCTAACGGCTACTTCGCGGCACGAAATCTAAAGAGCGACTGAGCGAAAATCCACTTGGATCCAAAAACCGAAACCCCAAAGCTTTCTGTGGAGCGGAACGCTTGGGTTTCGGAACGCTAGAAAAGCTCGCAGTCCCCAACGACTTTTTAAGCCTCTGTAGAGACTACACTCAAAATTTAATAGTTATTATAATTTATACGAATTTTATTTCTACAAATTAATGTGAAGGGAATACCTGAAAAGTATTTATTTAAAATCTGAAAGTCACTATATTTAAACATATTATTTTATTGTAATGTTTAGATATAAGAGAGATTTTTATAATCTCTTCAGACTATTTCGTTCGGAACACGGTTAAATTAGGACCCGGTCAGTTAGGACCCTATATATTCCGATTACTTATAGTAATTCTCAAAATTCTCTCTTTTTTTTTATTTGTTGTCACTTTTTCAGGTATCAACAGTCTAGCCACCAAATAAAGCCACAATTACAGACTCTTGTGTTGACTTAGGCTGCGGCCATTAACTTACCTGAAAACTAAATGATTAAATGGGGTTTAATGTTTTATGAAAAGCTAACATAGATTTTGGTGCTTATAAGTATACTTCTATTCATTTAAAAGTAATTTTGAACACTATTTGTGATTTTAAACTGCGCACTAAATTGATTTAAATTTTTAAACTTTGCCAATGCAAATAACTTAAACAAATGTAGATGCGCCGTGAGTTGACTTGGGCTAACTTGTAATTGAAGCTTAATTAACAAACAGTTTGTGCTTGAAAGTTTTTTAAACGCTGTGGAGGCAAACTTGGCGTTCGCCGGCCAATGGCCACTGGGCCACTAGTTCTCCCGTCCTTGTCCTGTGGCCCAAAGGAGCATTGGGGGGCCACCAAAGCAAACCAAACCTCCGGACCATTAGCGCGCCCAGCGTGCCACAAAGAAGCTGCATGCAAATCCAATTAGGAGCGAGGAGCGTGGAGCGGCGGCCCAGACCGAAGGTGGTGGTGCAGCTCCTGGATGGATAAATGGATGCACGGCTCACAATGGCCGCTCAAAGCCACCGACGCCAGCCACTGACCCAATTATGCTAATACGGTGGCCAAACTCAGGAGCAAAGCCTTTGACGTCATGTCAGCCGGATGCTGGGATACTGGGATAGTCATAGTCGGATGGATGTCTTTGAGGGAATAAAGGATGAGGCAAGAGCGGCTTACACCTGGAGCAATATCGGTTGCTGGGAAAATTGCGCAATATGACAGGATAATTGCACAAAACGGGTCCTTTGGCACACCTGAGCCTTATTGGCCCCGAACGGTGGAACGGAATCCCATCCAGAGCGGCACTTGGACACTCGACTCCCAATTGCCAATGCTATTTGCCATTTCCGTGCATACTTATATTAGAAAATTGCCGAAGCTCAAGTCGCACTTCAAAAACCAAGCAAAGGTGATACGTCCATCCGGCTGGTGCGCATGTCCCCAGTGTCCTTTATCACCGTCCTGACGACCTGTCGTCCTGTCGTCGGGCAACAGGTGCTGGCGCGGTGGCCGAAAGGATTCCCGTGGAGTTGGGTTTGGTTCGCAGCCCGCGAGGAGCTATAAAAGCGCGAGGAGCGAGCGACTTGGCCGTCAGTCGTCAGTCCTCCGCCGTGGAATTCGATCTCCGCCGTGGGAGCAGCTATCTTCTTTGAAATTCCGCCAATCGGTTGAGATGTGTTTGCAAACTATTTAGCGGTGGTGTGTCCGTAAAATGTAACAGCACCCCGAAGACGACCCACGAAAAACCAGCCTCATAATGTCGCGCCTGCTGATGCGGCGACGGATTCTGCTGATGGTCTTGCTCTTTGCAGGTAAGTTGGTAAATGGAGTGGTCTAGAATTTGGTCCCTAACGATATTCAAAAATGTATGCTTTTGGAGCACAAATTCCAAGGTTTTTACCTCTCACCAAATTTTGTAAAGAACTTTTAGGAAAATTTGATTTTTAAAGGAATTAAATAATTTATCTTAATAGGATCTTTAATCAAATAAAAAAGTGAAAGAGCTTAGCAAAACGAAGTTTGTATAATATCTATCCTTCATATGTGAATAATACTAAAGGGAAAGTATTGTCGTGTGTCTAGCGCCCACATCTTTAAAAAAGTACAAACGCAATATTTGTCCTTAATAATACATTTTGAAATATAGATGACATTTTTTTAAATCGGATTATTTATTAAACAGTTATGACCAAATAATAAAATTCAAGCAGTGCAAGCAGTCGCTTTACTGCATTTATGAACCCATCTCGGTCGCACTTAATTTGGCTGAGTAAAGGGTATGTGATAGTCGATAGTCGATTTTTAAAATACGTATAAAGAATATGTGCATATTTTTATTTATATCGATTTTACACTGCGCGAAGAAACTGCGTTGATTAATTTTAATGTCTAACAGTTGAAAATAAATACAAGCTATCCTAGAGTAAATAAATCAGTTTGATATATTTCCAAAAAAGAATATATAGTTTTCTCTTAATTATTCATATTACAAGACACGCTTTCATCCTTTACTATAGATCCTAATATAGATTCCATGCGGTAACCTCAGGCCAACTATCTCACATTTTCGGCCATTACTCATTTCTCGGCACTTGTTTCAAATTGAAAGTTGACCTTTTATTAGCAGTCATTGCGCCTATCACTAATTAAAATCTTTAGGGCGGGAGCGGAAATTGGATGTCATGCCGTTTTTGGGGAAAGCCAACCCTGTTTGTTCTTCTGTGACTAACCCGAAATCCTGAGGGAGCACACAATTAATGGGCCCTTATGCCGATATGTATTTCCACCGACAGCTCCACTGCGAAACGCACCCTTCGGCGGAGCACAGGTGGCAATAGCGACATCAACTGGTGGTGACCGCCAAATTCCGGCGGAGTGGCAGCGGGACTGGGAGTTGGATCCGGACTGGGACTTCAATGGGAACGGGAACGGGGACAGCGACTCTATACCGCCGCCGACGTCACGGGCTTTTGACGACCTTTACCGTGTTGATAGCGGAAATCCCCTGCCGAAAGCGAAAGGCGCGGAAATGGACAAACAATTCGGAGATAACTATTTCTCCCCGTATCCGGAGTTGTTTGGTCGCCAGTGGCACCTTCAGCACCTCAAGCAGCTGCAGGTGCAGCACAAGTGGCAATCTCCGCCAGCTGAGGAGGTCAAGGCCAAAAGGGCACCCCCCAAGTGGCCACCCGATAACGACGATTACGCCTACAACTTGCAATGGAAACGCAAAAATCTGCCGGATTCGCTTCGCTATATGCCCTCAATCAGTGCTGGTGAGTACGAACTGGGACTTGGGCCACAAATCAATGAAGATTCATTGCTAGTTAGCTTTACTGTATCCTTTAATGCAATAATGTTGACACACCACATTTTTGAAATTCTTTTAAATCTAGTTAAAAACTAATTTCACTTAGAAAAAAAGGCTGGGAATTTTAATTGTTATCATGCTTGGCAAAAACACAAAAGAAAAAATATTGCTTCTGCATTGACTGATTGGGAATTTCCACGTGATTAGTCATAACCGGAAGCATTTTTCAAACAACCAAAAAGCAGCAGTAAAATATTTTTTTATATATTTCTTAATTAGGGTCCTAGCTAAGTCGCAAATAATTGGATTCATCCTTTAAATATTTTATTTAAAATAAAACCATTTTTGTATACCACTCTTAACTGTAAAGAATACGGTTTTAAAGATTCAAGAAGCGTTTTTAAAAGCATCTAGGAATGTTATGCAGTTGTGTTTGAAACACACCATTGTTAGTGAGATTTACTCATTCTTCTAGGAGCCATGACCAATCTGGGCGGCTTCTTCAACCAACTGGAGGCGAACCTGCGCTTCGCAGAGCAGTCGCAGCTGGGCGAGTCGGAAACGCGAATGCTGGAGGGGAAGCACCCGCACCCCCTGCACCTGCCGCCAATGCCGCCCGACGCTCCGGATGATCCCGCCCAGCAGCAGGAGCACGACCGGAAGACATCGAAGCTCCTGCACGCCCTGCGAAGCTACAGACCCTCCCAGAAGATCCGATCGCTGGTGTCGCGCAATCCGCAGGGATATCGCGGATCCCAGTTCATAGACCCCAGCTACATGTGGTTGGGCCTGGGAAAATGACAGTGAGTCCCTGGGAATCATGGAATTAAAAGCCAACATCTATCAGTAGGTAACTAAGTAGCTGCAACGAACGCCGCCCCAGCAAGGTTTAAATTATACGCCCTCTGTGTGTGTAGAAAATATATTTGAATCTATCAGATCAAAAATGCAAAAAGTTTATTTCATTTCCAGGGAAAGGTATGTATAAGGTTCACAAAAAGGACCACAAAAAAGGACAATACAAAAGGAGTTCTTAGCAAAATATTTGAAATCTCCATTTCTCATAGATTAAAAGGATATATTTGTTAAAAAAGTGTTAGTATGCTCTTAACTAAAATGTTACAAATCTGAAAGTTATTTAAGAAGTTATTTATAAAGTTCAAATAGTACAGTTGGGTAGACGCTTGTGTTTTACATAAATATGTATAATCCCACCAATTTCAAAATTGCTTAACAAAGCTACTGGTGACTCCTTCCATCGCGTTTTTCTATACCAACATTATTATCGGGTTATATTTGGGCTTAGCTCTTTCCAATCAGACAAACCCATTGCCCTCCCTATAGGCCTGGATCTGCTTAAATAGCGAGTAGATCCCGTAGTACAGATACCAGCCGAGCACTGAAACGAACAAATGGAGCTCAATCAGAATTGGGTACGAAAATAATTCAGTGTGGTTTATGTATGACTCACCAAGTATGACAGTGTAGATCGAGACGGTTAGAAGTATATTCTCCCAGTCAACCTCAAATTTAAAGAGGAATACCCATGTTAGAACATACAAGAAAGTTAAGAAGACCATGACCAAGCCATTGTTCATTAGCCACGGAACAATGTACATATGTTGTTTCTGAAAATATAAATTTGATTACTTTAAGCCTTATGAACTAACTGAGAAACCGATTTACAATTTAAAGAAATCTCTTTAAGATGTGTATTATATTGTGGCGTATTTGTCAAATGGGTAACACCTCTTGAGTATTTTTTAATTACAATTCAAGTCTATAGATCTGTAATACCTTCCTTTAACAGATCAAAACTTACCTTCAAGGTACCCACGGCCAGCAAAACCGATGCCATTGTGTTGATTCCTAGTAGAGCCAACAAAAAATACAGGCTAACTTTACTTGCTGAAAATCACAGAATCGTAAGTTGTTTGACTAGGAGGTGCAGTATTATTATTAATCCTACCAGCTCTTGCCTCAGAAGGAATATCATTGATAGCGTCTGAGGAGAGTACCACCGAAAACAAAACTATGCCCACGATAGATACAATACCGCCTAACCAACTAGTAACTATGCCGTAGGTATTAAGACGCATGTTAAATACGCTGGTCAACATTTTTGAAGGATTCGAGTTCTTCCTTGGGTATATTTGACGAGAGGAACAAGTCCTCTTAAGTCCGCTGGCAACTCAAAACTAAAGTAACATTTTAAAAATTAGCTAAGTCTGGTTCCAAATTTCAAATTTATGCGGAAGCTGAAAAGATAGCCGTTATGTATTTGGAAGCAAAGATTAAGAAAATATTTGTCATTATAATAGGTTTTGAAAAAAAATTTTCATAATGTATAGCAAACTTTCACGCAGCATAAATAAATAAAAAGTTAGATACTATTTTTCTCCGTTAATGATACTGTTTTATAACAATTTTTCGTCAGCTGGAAACTGGTGAACTACCCCTTTAAATGAAGTTCTTATTTTGTCGTTGTGAATAGGAAAAGCGAAAAAGTTCGGTGATGTGGAAACAGTATTTTAGCATAATATTTTTAAAGTAATTGGCGACTTAATTACAGGATAGTTTTACAATAGCGCTTTCAAAGCTGACAGATGTTTGGGATTCCCTGTGGGCCTGGATATTCTTGCAAATACCCATAGTACCAGCCGACCACTGAAACGATTAAGTATAGCATAATAAGCTACTAATGCGATAGTAATATTGATTTGATCATATTATGTAGGTTTAAAGTAAGACTTACCAAGAATGGCGAAGATAAGGAATATTATCAGGATAAGTTTGTACGACTCGTCGTATACAGCAAGACAAGTCCATATTGCAATGAAAATGAAAGTCAAGAAGGCCAGGAGCAACTCATTCTTCATCAGCCACGGAAGCATGAAAAGGGGGTGTTTCTAAAAATATTAAGTTCTTAGGTATATAGATAGGGTTCACTAAACTACAAAGAAGGTAAAATAGTTTAAAAAGATTTGTGAATTATTAAACCAACTCACTTCATAGCCATTCTAAATGGCCTAATAAAGTGAAGCCGGAATTTAACATATACTTTTTCACATTCCTCTAAGAATTTTATGAACCAATTTTTTTATTTTTATCTGCACCAATTGATTCAAGGGTTACGGATAAACCTTTCCTTTTTATTATACCTCAAAATATTAGGCTAGGCTTACAGCCAATAACTTACCTTAATGTTACCTACGGCCAGCATGACCGATGACACAACATTGACTACTAACAGAGTCAAAAAACATAAAGGATTGCAACAAGTACTGAAAGACGCAGAATAATTGATATATTTGCTAGCAAACCTTTTTTAAATCTTACCAAATTTAGGTATTTTAATATTGACCAAATTGAAAACGTCTACAGAAATGGCCACGGAACACATTAAAGTGCCTAGGAAGGAGAAAATGACGCTAAACCAACTAACAATTGCCCCGTTAGTATCAAGCCGCATGCAACACAAGGTGGTCAACATTTTTCCAGTATTCGGATCCGTCTTGCTTACAATTACAAAAATAACAAGACTTTCTTGGCCCGTTGCCAACGCAAAGCTAATTAATCTGGAATTTTACCAATTTTTACTATAATTATTATTCTATTTGGTGTGGAATCGATTTTTAAAACAGCCATAATATATGCGATTGCCTAAAATGTGTCTGAAGAAAAGATAAGAAGAACACAGAAAATGGTCTTGATATCAGAGAGTTACTTACTTATAAGCCTCGCTGTGCGGGTTAAACTTTGTGTGGAACGTCGCCTTATCTTTATCTTTTGTATATGTTTTCGTTCCGAACTTACCAAGGCGCCCCGAAAAAAGTGATTGCTCATTTTAAAGCTGGACTTGATTCCAGTTAAGTAAATAATAATTATAAGAAAAGCTTGTAAATCTTTCTAGTGTTCCAAAACCCATAGGTCGGAAATGATTAAAAAGCCTTTAATTTACTTAATTACCACTGTTAATTGTACTTTACTTAAATAGCATAAAGCATTTCGTCAAACCATTACAGTTCAGTAAAGTCAAACAACAATTTTCGGTTGCACACTTTTTAATGTAGAATTTATTGATTTTACCATTTTTTGATTAAAATATATGTGGTTATATTGAATTACAGAATACGATTTTTTAAGAGGATATTTTAAAAATAATTGCCGTCTTAATTAATGGATATTTTTGTTATAACAACATTAATATTCGTGATATTTAGGTAGAGCGCTTTCAAAATGGACAGCTGTATGGGATTCCCTTTGAGCCTGGAAAGTTTTGAATAGCGAATACATCCCGTAGTACAGATACCAGCTGAGCACTAAAATGATGAGATATAACACAATCAGCATTGAATGAGTGATATGATTGTATTAAGGGAGACCAACCAAGAATTGCCGCAAAGACCAGAAACATTATCAGGATAAGTTTTAACGACTCATGGTGGATAGCAAGAGAAGTCCATATTGCAATACAGATGAAAGTGAAGGAGGCCAGGAGAAGTCCATTGTTTATCAGCCATGGAAGTATGAGCAGATGGTTTTTCTGAAAATAAAATATTCCCATATTATTATTTATTCCACTGACAACTTAGTTAATTATTAAAAATATTTTATTTCTTTAAATTTGGTACTTTAATAAAGCCGGATTTTTACATTTGATTTTCCAAATTCCACTCCGAATTCTATGAATCACTTTTAAGTATTTTAATTAGCACCACTATATTTTAAGTTGAAGGATCAGCTTAAACCTTCCGTTCACAAATAATAACTTACCTTGATGGTGCCTACGGCCAACATGATCGATGCCACATTGTTGACCACCAACAGGGTCCAGAAAACATAAAGGGCGGCTACAAGCACTGAAAAACACGGAAATATAGAATTGATCTCTGGACTGAACTGCTTTTTAATTCTTACCAGCTTTAAGGATTTTAATTGGTACAAAATCGAAAATGTTATGGGCGATGAGCACCGAAAAAACTACGGTGCCCAAGAACGACATAATGATGCTTAACCAACTAATAACCGAACCGTAGGTGTTCAGCCGCATGCAGCACACATTGGTCAACATGTTCGTATATCCGCTTCTTGTAAATTGGACAAAAAAAACAAGACCTTCCCAGCCCGCTGTCAACGCGAAACTAATAAATCTTGAATTTTGTCAGTTTCAACTAAAGTTTTTCTCCTATCCGGCGTGGAAACGATTATTTGAGAGCTTCAAATGTAAGCGGAAGCCGTAGAGATATTCTTGGGTCCCCAAAAAAAGATTAGGGAACGTAGCCCAGAAAACCATACAAATATTTGATCAAGACAATAGAGAAATACTTTTAAACCTCTCTTAAGCGATTGCTTATGAATGGGTTGAACGCATTAATGAAAATACCAAATATGTATATAAAAAGATTTACTCCTCTTCTTGAAAAGATATTTACAAAATATCTATCTCAGAGTAAAATTGGTGTAAAATGGTTATTTACTAAAAAATAGACAAAATGTTTTATATTAATATGTTTTATATATAATATTTTTCTTCAAAACATAGCTCTAACACCTTCATTTTGTCACTTTTATTCGATCGTTCCTATGGAAGCTATAAGGTATCCTTTAGAAGTACAAAATGATCAAAATAAATACGATTATAAAAGCTTTTAATAAATACATTTCTTCAATACCTTTTCTCTGGAGCTTTTGCTTTTGACTCTTTGCTTTAGTTTATTTTGCTTTTTTTACTTGGGCTAGTAACTTTTTTTGAAAGTGGGGAATCACACTTTCAGATTGAAATCCACCTGAACACCACCACCTGAATAAATGATAGGTATATCATGTGTGTATACAAAATATATTTTCAGAGCCAATAGGAAAATCGAATTTTGGCAATTTCGTTCAAATAGATAAAAATAGAGACGCGTGTAAGTAAATATATAGGGTGTACATAATATTCCTTCTCTGCTGCATAGTACCTAATTATAATGTTACTAGCAATGAAGAATGGGGTTAATTAAGGAAGCTGCATTGAAAGGATTCGAAAAGTATTCGACGCCGTCCAGGACACCTTAACAGCTTATATCTTGGTGTAGCTGGGATAGGAGTTGGTCTGCTGGGATACCGGCGGGATAAGCGGGCGCTGCAGATCACTGGAGGCCTGGATCTGCTTGAAGAGCGAGTAGATCCCGTAGTACAGATACCAGCTGAGCACTGAAATGAGCAAATGGAGAACAATCAGCTCGGCGTGTCCGATGGTAATTACAGTAAGATCACACAGCCCCGCGCGATAAGGGATTCACAATTTCACAACAATTAATGTGTATACACATTTTCAGAATCAGTTCTTTGTATATATATGTATATCAATACATGTGGTATACAAGAGAATGAGTCACTGAAAAACTTACGGAGAACAGACACCGAGATCAATAAAATGGGTAGGGCGCTCATGAAGGGCATCGCGGATCCGATGACCTGGGCCCAGAGTCCAATATGTGTGACGATAGAAAGGGCCAGGATCACACCGTTGTTAATCAGCCAGGGAAGCAGGAGCAGATGACGTTCCTGAAAAATACAAGACATTGCTATAGAACTCCCTTTAAAATCACCGTCTGGCTAGTTCCTAATACAAATGCCTAACTCTGTAATACGTGGTTTTGAGATCAAATAACGGCTTACCTTAACGGTACCCACGACCAGCATGGCCGAGGCCAGAAGATTAATCACTTTAAGAGCCAGGTAGATACTGAAAAGTATGATAAGCACTGCAGAATAGATAAACAAGGTAGCATTAATATTGTCTTGTGGGTGCACTTAATGATTAACCCTTACCATTGCGAACATCGCTGACGGTCATGTCATTTTTTTCAGTGTCGACGATCTGCTGCGCAATTTTATCTACGAATCCCAAAGCCACGGACAACAGGATCGTGGCCAAAAAGGAGAAAATCACTCCCAGCCACCCAATAACAACACCGTAAGTGTTAAGCCGCATGCAAAAAACGGAGGTCAACATTTTTGCTGGAATTTAATACTTTGTCTTTGCGATTGCGGAGAATATAGAAAACAAAACCTTCTTGGTTTACCGGCGCAGTGAAAATGCAATCAGTCGCAATTCATTGAAAGCTTTCGTTGGAATGGCCTTGCCAGATCGATGGAACTAGTGGACGCAGTAAAACTGTGACTGGTTCACCTGCATTGCATGTGACTGGCTAACGTTACTTGGTTAAATTATTTTAAGATGTTTTACTTTATATTCTCTTTAACGTTTCCATAAAAATATGCACATGTTATTTATTTATTTTTACAGCTAGCATATAAGCAATTAAAGTTTATTTCTAAGCTTTCTATTATAAAGTAGTAAATATTATGTATTTATATATTTATTTCAACAACTTAAATTTCAAGAATAAATTAAAAAATATATATATTCATTATATTGTATATTTTTATAGCCGTTACTCGTAGAGTAAAAGGGTATATTGTGTTCGTGCAAAAGTATGTAACAGCTAAAAGTAAGCGTTTCCGACCCCATAAAGAATATATATTCTTGATCAGGATCACTAGCCGAGTCTATCTAGCCATGTCCGTCTGTCCGTCTGTCTGTCTGTCTGTCTGTCTGTCTGTCCGTCCGTATGAACGATGAGATCTCGGAAACTACAAAAGCTAGAAGGTTGAGATTTCCCACAAATATTCTTTGCCTTTCTAACGCCCACTAACGATTTTAAAATGTGTCCTGCGTCCACATCTTTAAAGATTTCCGAGAAGTATAAATGCAATTTGGTGTGTATATGTATACCTATCGAAATGTTGAAGACATTTTTCAAATCGGACCATTCATTAAAGAGTTATACGCAATCAAAATTGTTTATATATCTATCTCCCTTTAATTAGTCGGGACACCAACCCAAGTACAGCGTTCGCACTCCCTTTAGCTGAGTGACGTGTATTAGTAGTCGGGACACCAACCCGACTATAGCGTTCTCTCTTGTTTCTTTTTAAATTGACCTAATTATTCATAATCAGGGCTCCAATACACACACTTTGCAAAATACAAATACAATTTTATTTTGTTTATAGTTCGTTCTTCTGGATAGAGGTATTAATAAATATGATGACGTTCAGCTTTTAATATGTATGTATGTAACCTTTGCATGCAAAAAATTCTCGCCAGCTTGTTTGTTGCTGTTGTTCCGGTGCTCTTCAATTGTGTTTATTTCTTTACACTCGGCAACAAGTGGCCACTTACTTGAGAACTTTCCCACACAACCACTTTACCAGAAACACACAAAATTTTTAAAATAGATACAAATTACAATTTTGGTTTAGTTTTTTGTATTATTTTTTAGGGTTTAATCAAACACATATGTTTACCTCAAAACATAAGCTTTTAAGTGTTTTTCTTTTAACGAATTAATCATAAACTATAAATCATAAGATTTAGAATTATAGTTTGTATAACCTTGAAAACACATTGGAACATGTTTGGGGTAGTTTTTCGTTAGTTCCCCATACTAAAACTGTATGGCGTAATCAAACTTTTGTCTGATTTCGGCCCTCCTACTTAACTATTTATCTAGTGGTTCAACCCTCATCGATGCTTGAGATTACGCAATCATAAAGATATCACAAAAATAAGAAATAATATTTTAAAGTTATAAGAAATATTAAGAAAAGAGGCAAATGATACTTAATGTTTAAAATAAAGTACATTTTTGTTGTCTAGTTTTGGCCAACTGTTGCTTCTCCGAGACTACGACTTGATGAATTCATTCTTGAGTTGATTCTTGCCAAGTGCGGTTGTGTTTCCGTGCGCTGAGAGATCCCAAACCGGTTTTGTGCCATAATATTGTTTTATCTGTGAAAATTGTAATTTAAGTTTTGAATCTCAAAATGAAAATCGACCTTACTGTGGAAAATGGCCCTTGCAATACGGAATTGCGGAGTTGGTGCTTGGGAATTGCGATCTACTGGCTGATTCAAATTACAATTGGCGTGATATTCGCTCCAAATGGTAGGAGAAATTTGAGGCGTGGCATTTGTTTATGTCCATAAACGGAAACGTTATAAACGGTGATGGCGTTTATACAAAATAACAGAATGAGCTAATTCATTCGAGCCAAACGCGTTTTATCACTTCCAACGATGACGACATCTGACAATACAAACCACATTTTACTATATACATACGAGTTTTCCCCAGGCTTTTTAAAAACAAATTTATTATTTTATTTGTTCTTAAGCCAGGTGCGGATCCAGTGAAGTGGAAATGGGGGAAAAATTGTGCTCCAGATCCGCCCCTGAGTTGGATTTTTATTGTTATTTTAGACTACTCACATCATTGTCAAATATTTTGAAAATGATGTAAGCATTGGCAATACAAGCAGCATCTTTTAAAAATTGGCATTGAAATTAAGACTTCATTATGTTAATGGGACAAACATGTAAAAAATCGAATGAAATTTGAAAAAACGTAACTCTACTTTAAAAAACTATTAGGTGGCATATTTTAAGTAACCTATTAAGTTTGAAGTAAAAATATAAATCCTTTTTTATACGAAGAACTTTTTATGGAATAACAACAAAATTGTTTTAAACATTTTTTTATTGAGATAAATAAGGCTCTGGTTCTGCTGATATCCGGTCTTATGGCTATATTATTTTTATAAAAAACTGAGCCGAAGGCGTATGAATTTAGCATGTTCTTATCTCGTAGGCGTCGCTTAAAATTGGCTCATATTCTTCCAAGTATTTAGAATAATTTATTTTTCCTTGCAGTTCTCAACTTTGTTGGATTCGCCATCACTGTGGTCGCCAATATTTGTTTATTGATAGGCACCCAAAGGGTAAATATACCATATTAACGACTTCTTAAAAATGAACTTACAAATTTACTCAACGAAACATAATCCCCTTATCAACTCCAGGAAAAGCGAGTGCTGGTCCTCGTCTGGTTGATATTCGCTGCAATCGAAGCAATTAGCTTCCCGTTCGCGGTTCTGGGTGTGATCTTCCATTACGGAGGATACCGCGAGGCAGTTGGAACCTCCAGCGTTTTCGCAGCCCTGCTCATTTACATCATTACCTTCTGTAAGTAAAAGAAATGCCTGATAATAAACATGGATTTAACACATATATCTAATTATCTTTTCTTTCAGTACTTATTGCCTTCAGCGCCCGTCTGGTGTACTCCTTCTATCTCCAGCTGAAGAACAACGAAGCCGGCAGTCAGGCCCCGCGCACCCTGAATGTGGTTTAGTTCCCTTCTTCTAGATTATTTCGGGGAAACCCCACTCTTCTCAACTCAGTGTTTGCAATAAAATGCGATTTTATTTTATTAGATTGCAGTTTGTCGTTATACACATCTCTTATTCACATCGACTCGGGAGCAACTATCAACAGTTAAATACATTGGTTACATATACATACAGGGTGCTATTGGCTATTGGGCTACCGCGTTCTTAAACATTCAACATTTAAAACGATCGATCACACTAAGGACTTTAGTTATATACTCGACCCAGTTCTCTATCTAAATAGCTAGCTATCATACTCGGCATCGTCTCCTGCTCCATCTCCTACTTAGACATAAAATGGAAAGTTGGTCTTCTTATTGTTGCTGCTGTCATTGGTGTTCTGGGTCTGCGTAAAGCTCGTCTCGGCACTTTGGCTGGTCAGCTTGGCCTGCACGGCGGCCAGGATGCGGGCAGCCTGGCCAGCACCGCCCGTCTCCATGGCAGACTCCACACTCAGGTTAAGATTCAGCTTGAGCTCGAACAGCGACCCACTCGCTTGGATCTGCGACTGTGTCTGCCGGTGGGCAACGGCCGGTTTTCATCTCGGCGTGGTTATGCTGGGCAGCTTCTCCAGGAAGTCGTTGGCCAGCACCTCCTCGACCTCCTGCAGGCAGTTGGCCACATCGTTCTCAGTGTCGGCAAAGTTACGCGGCTGGGGGCAACTGATGCCCAGCGTGGTGAAGAAGGCGTACAGCTCCTGCAGCGACTGCAGTTGCTGGAAGTGCAGCATCAGATGTCTATTGCTGGGACGCTGCAGTACCTGAAATAAATGGAAAGGGATTAGTTAGGTAATTGAATCATATGGGAAGTGAGGCGAACAACTAACCGGCGACTGACTGGTGTACTTCATGTCCATTAGCCTGGCCACACGGCTCACATGCGGCACATACAGGGCGCTGGGCAAGCTGGCCAGGTTCTCGAGACTTCCGTTCGGCAGGCGCACCTCCTCCTCGTGAACATCGAACTCTGTGCCCACAAAGGCCCATCGATACATCTGGAAATGCGGCAGCTTGGTGGCGGGCAGCACGCATCCCAGTTCCAGGAGTTTGCAGGCCTCCAACTGCACCGATCGCCAGTGCTGCATCGGAGTCTGAGAATTGTAGCCGTTGCTGGCTCCCGAAGCAGAGGACCAGGACACGTCAATCCCCGAGGGCATACGCATTTGTTGGCTGCAATAATAGTTTACAAAATAATTAGATTTAAATAATATTTTATTAGCTGCATTAACTTACTTTCTCTCCTCGCTCTCCGATTTGAGTTCCTGTTCCATTTGCAGGAACACTTGCACCATTTCCGCAATGATTATGGGCCACAGCGAGGTGACGTGGTCGGGCGACATGCGGAGGAGCAGGACACGGAAGCACAGGAACACGGCTGCCTGCACTGAAGGTCCCATGGGAACCAGTCGCAGACTGTTGGCCAGTTGCTCTGTGTAAACATACAAAAGGTTAGTATTTAGGTCAATTAATTCCCTAAAGAAGCACCATTAAGCAATGAAAACTAATGAAATTCTTATTTGGAGAATAGAGTCCTGCATGAGTACACTTGAATTGTCAAACAAGTCAATTTTTTGAAAATAGAGTGAGTGAGTTCAAGTGAGTTTCACTTAATCACTCGTAAAAAAAAAACAAGTGATACAAGCACAGAATAAAAGTGAGTTGGAGTTATAAAATTACTAAGCAAATTATTTAGGTGATTCGAAATTATTTTATAACTATTTATTATATATTAAATCACTTGTTTTTCCTTATGAAAAAATCAAATGAAAAAAAAGATTCAAGTTAACTGATTTTAAAAATGGACTTTCAAGTACACTTATGCAGGACATGATAAGAATTGGTTTCCCAATGGGCTACCTTCCTTTCCAACTTACCCTGGATGTCTGGCATGTACTTGTTGTGCTGATCAAACTCGCTGCAGTAAATGACAAAGGCCAGCCGCTTGAGCAGCATGGCGCGCTGTTCGTACTCCTGATCCCGGGACGTAAAGATGTTCAGACTGCCCGCCTGCGAAAGTGAGACGCGGGTCATCAGCTCGCGGAACGTTGTGTTGTCGTACGTCATCAGACTGTCCATGATCATGCGCCAGAAGGGCAGGCACGAGAGGTGCATCTGGAAGAAGGCGTTGTCTAGCAGAAGATCCAGCATATCCTTGCGCCACGCCTTTCTGGTGTACTGGTAGCCACTCAGGCTGGCCAGCAGAGCGGAGCAGGCGTAAAAAAAGGGCACATTTCGCGCAGTGTGGTTCTTCAAATACGGCGTAATATTGTAGAGTAGCGGCGTCACTATGTTGACCACCTTGTCCTTTTCCTGCGAACCGTAAGCCACGTCCAGTAGGTTCGAGAGTATGGCGGCCAGAACACTCTGAGCCTGCAGCGAATATTGCTGTAGGCCTCCACCTCCCACGCTGTTATCCTTGGCCAACCCATCAGTATCCTCTTTTACGGCCAGGTTGCGGCGCAGCCAGGTGGTCTGCTCTAGACAGGATCCGGCCACGCTGGAGAGAGAGTCCACCAGTCGAGAGGTCACGTCGTGCAGCTCGCGCACTTCTTTCTTGTCCTGGAACGGCATCTGCGGACAGCGCTGAACGAACTCATTCAAGAGCATCAGCAAAGCGAACTGCGCCGGTGGCGTCAGATTCAAGCCATCCCGGATGAGGGCGAGCAGTGAGCTCCAGGCATCCGCCAGTTGAGGAGCCGGGGCCGATCTCATGTAGAAGTAAAAGAGCTCCAGGGCGCTCACCTCGATGCTCAGCTGGGCCGGTGGTCGGTGGATTGGCGGCGGCGAGCGCACCACATGGTGCAGGGTCATAACGAAAGAATCCATGGGCATTACCCGGATGCTGGACACCAGGGAGACCAACGACAGCTGGGCGGGACATGCCTGCAGAGTGGAGTTTCTCTGGAACTGCTCGGCGATGCTCAGTCCGCTCATATTCGAGGCCAGGCCCCGCTGCTGCCAGGTGACCGCCACGGCGGCAAGGAAGTTGCAGCCATGATGCAGCGACACCGGCGATAGGAACTCAAGAAGCTGCTGGCGAACCGGGCGCAGCTGTCCCAGCTCGCTGTCCCAAATGGCAGCCACGCTGCTCATGATCCTCGGCAGATGCGAGAGGACGGCATTGCGGGCAGCCTGCAGCTGCGGATTCCTGGGAGCCGGCGCCGAATTGGAGGACTCGCTGGCCGAGAGGAAGGAATGTACAATGCTGTTGAGCAACTGACCCGTGCTGGAACTCTGCGCCGACGAGCTGGTCTGCGGATAGGCCTGATTGAAGAGGTGCGAGAGGGCCGTCTGCTGCGTGTTGTCCAGCAAACAGTAGTGGCACAAGATGGTCAGTGCCTCCAGCTGGGAAACCACATAGTCCGGCGGGAAGTGCCGCTGCTGGGGGAGACCCATCTTGGCGAGGCGGTCGAGGTTACTGCATAGCTGATGCACTACGCTGATCACAATGTTCGTGAGTGAGCCGAAGGAGAAGCAGTTGAGCGACGAGGTCACCAGATCCGTCCAGTTGCGGTGCAAGTGTCGCAGCCGCTCCTGTTGCAGGGCACCCAACACGGCGGCCAGGAACATGGGCTGCTGGCTGATCAGGCAGTTGGGCAAATACTTCACATTGGCAGTCGCTCCCTCCGCCAGGCGAGTGGGCGACGCATTGCCCGCCGAATCCTCGCCAGCCGCGGGAGGCGTATCCTGTCGCAGCTGATGCACCTCATGCTCCAAACGGATTACGGCCAACAGCAAGCGAAGCAGCTGCAGCTGGAAGCAGTCCGCGTGCAGCTGATCGTCCTGGGGATCATTGAAACTGAGCACCTGCTCCGCATAGCTGCCGCTATTATTGTTTACTCTACGTCCATAACTGCACACCGAGCTGTTCAAACAGTGCAGCATCACCTTTTGCAGCTTGGCGCGGGCCAACAGATCGGCAATATAGTTGGCCAGTCCCTTGCCCATGCCCTTGACAATCTCGATGAGCTCCGAGCAGATGAGGGTCAGCAGTTCAATGCTCTCCAGCTGGATTCTCCGATTGTTCACAATATCCTGCAGCGTGGGCGGCTGCCGCTGAGCGTCCAGCGATTCCTTCTGGAAGTAACCACGGGCGTAGAACAAGCAGAGCGTGACCAGCAGCTCCAGCTGCATGCAGCCGCGATATCCTTGAGCGTACTCGGAGCTGCCCACACCGCCATCGAATCCCTTGCCCGAGATGCTCTTGCGATGGCGGACGAGCAGCTGTTTCAGGCTGGCGCTCGAAAAGGATGTGGTTATGGACAGGCAAAGGAAGGTACGCCGATCGCAGCAGATGATATTCCGAAGCGTCTGCAGGGCGTACAGCGTCTGACGGGTGTCGTAAATGGCCAGGTAGATGAGAAGGTGGTTGTGGTACAGGTGCGCCGCATCCGTCAGGGAAACGCTGCTTTTCACGGAGCTTCGCAGACTGGTCTGCTCCTCTGCTGCTGCCGCTGCCGCCGCCGCAGCTGCAGCTGCATTGTTCTGCCGCAGGATTTCCACGTTCTGCTTGCCCTTCTCCAGGGTCTTCTGCATATCAGGCTGTAGTTTGCTGGTCTCCAAACTGAGATTACGTCGCTTGTCCTCCACATTGATGGTGGATTCGGTTCCCGGCTCTGTTTCGTCCTCCTGCTCCGGCTGCTCCGCGTGGGAGCCACTGATGTTGCTATCCGTGGAGGTCTTTGAAATGCAGCTAAGTCGTTTCTTGTCGCCCGCAGTCAGCAGCTTCTTGCGCTTGCCCAGCTTTTTGTCATCTCTGAAATATTCATCCGCTGGAAGCGCATCTGCTTGGAGGTCAGGGATGTTATGATTATCATGATCCTTTTGCTCCAGCGAGTTGAAGCTGCTTTCGCCTGGTGTCTTTTCCCTGGTCAACCGATAGGTCTTGCGGCTCTTGATCTTCTCGTGCTGAGTCAATGCCTCGGTTACACTTTCGCAGTCGCCCACAAAGCGCTTGACATCGTCACTGACACCAGCACTCGAACTGACCGTCAGGCTGTCTTCCTTCTCAATGCTCGTTTCGCGCAGCTCGGAGTCTGATT